GCCCCTGGTTAGAGAGTCTTTGCAACTCTTACAGCACCACAGCTGCACGCTCCACAACACACCCATGGACTTCCCATCCTGGAACTCCAACCAGCAGGCTCAGACCCCCATCCCTGGTCCCTCTCTCTGCAGTTTCTGGCCATGTTGGCCCAGTGGTGCACCCAGGCCCACTCACTCACCCTGCAGAACTTGAAGCCGCGGCAGAGGGGCAAGAAGGAGAGCAAGGAGGAGTATGCCAGGAGCACGAGGTAAGTCCTGGGGCGGGCTCCTGACTGGGGGCCGGAGCGCTCACGAAGGTGGCCACGAAGGTGACCCTGCCTTCCTGGTCATCCCTAGGGGTTGTCTGGAAGCGGGACTGGAGTCGCTGCTGAAGGCCGCTGGGGGCAACTTGCTCATCCTGCGTATCTCCCACTGCCCCAACATCCTCACTGACCGCTCGCTCTGGCTGGCCAGCTGCTACTGCCGCGCCCTGCAGGCCGTCACCTACAGGTGGGTCCCTCCGGCCGGAGGGTGCCTTCAGCTTTAGGTCCAACGGAAGTCCCATCCTCTGTACTCTTCCCTCCAAGGCTCTCAGGCCGAGATCCACAACGCAAGGAAACAGAGCCTTGGCCGTAGGGCTGCCAGCACAGGTGGTCCTCTCTCTTTTCAACAGGAGTGCCACCGACCCTGTGGGCCATGAGGTCATTTGGGCCCTGGGTGCAGGCTGCAGAGAGATCGTCTCCCTCCAGGTGGCGCCACTCCATCCCTGGTGAGCCCTGGCTGGGTAGGAGAGGGTGGTGTGGAATAGGCTGGGGCTGGGGCTGGGTTAGGGTTGGGGTACCATCCTCATCATCTCTGATACACTCCAGCCCATTGTTAAAGACCCTGTGTCAATCCATCTTGTTGAGGGTCTTCCTCTTTCTCTGACCCTCCACCTTCCCCAGCATAATGTCTTTTTGAAAGGACCAGCCCCTCTTCACAGCAGTGCTCAAAGTATGAAACCACCTTTCAGCCTCTTTGCCTTTAAGGAGCACTCTGACTGCACCTCCTCCGAGATAGATTGTTCTTTTGACAGCCCGTGGGATATTCGGTTCTCTTCTCCAACACCACAACCCAAAGACATCGATTCTTCTATCATCCTTATACGTTGTCCAGTTTTCAGGTGCTAACAAATGACTTTTAAAAAAAAGACCATGGCCTGAATCAGGTGCACCATAGTCTTTAAATTGACATCTTTGCTCTTCAGCATTCTGGAGAAGTCATTGACAGATTTTTCCAATGCAACACATCTTTTGATTTCTTGATAGCTGGTCCCAAGGGTGTTGATTGTGGACCAAAGTAAAATGAAATCTTTGACAGATTCTCTATCATGATGTTGTCTGTTGGTCCAGTGGTGAGGATTTTTGTCTTCTTGATGTTGAGCTGTAATCCATTCTGAAGGCTGCAATCTTTGATCTTGTGTATCAAAAGGATCTGCTTTTGGGCAGTGAGAGGAAGGCATTGGAGCAAGCTTCTGGCTCACCAGCAGTGTGACTTGGGCCAGCGCCCTGACCCAGCCATGTCTTGGTCTCTAAGCCTTCCAGGTGAAGGCGGTACATGGGGATCTGCTGACCTTGTAGTAGTGCATCACGTGTTGTGCTGCTGACTGACGGGTCAGTGGTTCGAATCCACTAGCTGCTCCCAAGGAGCAAGCTAGGTACCTCCCTTCATTAAGATGTACAGCTTGGGGAATCTGTTGGGGTCACTGTGAGTTGGAATCCAGTGGGTGGGAGTGGGTTTGGCTTTGATCTTAGGGCTGTTGAAACACCAATGAGGTCAGATATATAACACCTATAACACCAGCCAGGCACACAGTGTGCATGCACAGTGACCACGAGCTAGAAAGCCTCGTTCCTTGGTCACCTGAGCGGGAGGCCAGTGAGTAATATACGGGAGAGCTAGTTGGGAGGAACCTGGAAGGCGCCCTCGCCCCCAGCCCTTGGGTTGTGCAGTGTCCCTTCATGAGCTCCCCACCCCCCCACATGGATTGTGTCACTGTTGACCTTTCAGCACCTTGCCTGCGGTGAACTCTGGAACCATTGTTTGTATTGCTGTCCCCCTGTGCATTCCTGGTTCTTGGGGCAAAGGCTGTGAACATTCCCATGCCCCAGGACCAAGCATATAGCAGATGCTTGAGACATCGATGCCTGGACAAATGCTGAGGGTCAGGCCTTCAGGGAGATAGCATTCAGAGGGAGGAGGGATGTGGTGTCCAGGAAGGCGGCATTTGCAGGGAGTTGAGGGGCTTCGGAAGGCTGAGGTCACATTTGCTTTCTACCCAAACTGCTGAGAAGACATTGAGGGCTTTCCGCTTTCGGGAAAGGCATCAGTGTCACTGATCCACCTGGCCATCCCCAAGTCCATTCACGGAACAAGCACTACATCTAGACTGTTTACGTCTACATTCTGGCGGCCAAGTGGTTGTGCTGCCAACCTAAAAACATGAGGTTCCAGTTCACCAGCTACTCCTGGGGAGAAAAAAGGGCAGTTTCCTCCCATGCGATTTACTGCCTCTGAAAGCCTGCTGGAGGGTCAGCTGTGAGTCAGTTCCTACTGGAGCGCAATGGCCGACTTGACAGCCGCAGGGCCTGGCTGAGTTCTTAGCTGTTGACTGAGGAAGCCAATACGTGAATGAATGGCCTGTGGTCCACAGTTGGCAGGGACACTTATGATCCAGGCAGAGGATGATGATGGTTTTGAGTGTAGTGAAATTATCCAGGTCTCTAGATCGCTGGGACCTACCTTGTGGGAAAGGAGTGAGGAGATGTCAGGGCTGAGCTGTTTTCTGAGTGCATCAGCTGGGTCCCCTGGTGGGCCGTAACCCGAGAGAGGGGCTCTTGGACAGGAGCCAGTGTGAGCTCACCACCAAGCCCTCCCTGACTGCCCCTCACTCCTCTTCTAGCCAGCAGCCCACGCGCTTCAGCAACCGGTGCCTACAGATGATTGGTCGCTGCTGGCCCCACCTCCGGGCCTTGGGGGTCGGGGGCGCTGGCTGTGGGGTGCAGGGCCTGGCATCACTGGGTGAGTCTTTCCTGGGGGTTTTGAGGGGGTGGTTGTGGTGGCACTGCTCTGTTAGATCCCAGAGGGATGTAGGTGGTGGCCAGAGGTGCAGGGTGCCCAGCAGGCGGTGACTTGGGCTGTATGGTCAGGATGTGGTCTTCCTCCTTCCCCCAGCGAGGAACTGCATGCGGCTGCAGGTGCTGGAGCTGGACCATGTGTCGGAGATCACCCAGGAGGTGGCGGCTGAGGTCTGCCGGGAAGGCCTGAAGGGACTGGAGATGCTGGTGCTCACTGCCACCCCCGTGACGCCCAAGGCCCTGCTGCACTTCAACAGTGAGTCCCCCTGGGAGACATGGGGAGGGGTGGGACCCTCGGCAGGTCACGTGACCACCCTGTGACACTTCCCCCCAAGACCCTGCAGCACTTAAACAGTTAAGAAGGGACAGGTGGGGATACAGGACCCTCAGCAAGTCCCATGGCCACCCAGTGACCTCCCTTCCCCTACCCATGGCCCTGGTGAACCTCAACAGTGAGTTCCAAGGGATGTGGGGTGGGGCGGGACCCTCAGCTCGTTCTCACAGAAAGTCACACGACCAAGTCCTAGGCCTCCATAATGGGGTCACACTGACACCCCCCCACCCCATCTGCCCTGGCATGACCTCCAAAGCCTCCTGAGGCCAGTGGTGTTGGAGCTGGCCAGGACCAGGCCTGAGCAGCCACTTTTACGACCTTGTCTGCCATGTGCTGTCTGTGGTGGAGACCAGCGCTGGACAGTGGCTGGAGAGCAGAGGGTCAGGACACAAGCTGGACTGGGGCCTAGTTCTGGCTCCTCGACTAAGGTGGCGTTAGGCCGGTCAAAGCCCTTGAGTCTTATTGTCCCATCTTTTTTTATTATTATTATTATTTTGTGTGTGTGTGTATGTGTGTGTACCATCAAATCAGATCTGACTGGTACAGGAGATTGTTCCTCCTCCTCCTCCAGCAGAGCATCTGGTGGATTTGAACCGTGCACCTCTGCTATTGCAGTACACCTTCTTGCCACTAGGCCACCAGAGCTTGCCTATTGTCCCATCTTGTAGACTGACTCCCACGGTGCTGAATGAGTGACGCATGTGAGGTCCCCTCTCCCTCTCGTGGTGCAGGCACTGCATGCCCTGACCAGCCATGCCCTTCCACTCCCAGTCACGCCTCTGCCTGCACTGATGACACAGGGGTCTACCCTAATGAGGCCTGCACCCAGGACTACCAGGGCTCTGGGAAGACCGCTTGTCCTGGTCACTCAATACTTTCACCTTCAGCCTCACGGCCATACCTTAGACCTTACCACTCAGCCTCCCAAACTGTCAAAATCCGTCTCCAGGGCTCTTTCAGCCCCATCTCCTCCTGTCTCACATGCTCTGTGGAGACATCTGTCAGTTAAGTCCGTGGCTCTCAGCTTAGTGGTCCCTGTGTGCTCTCCCTGCACGCTCTGGTTAGATTCATCACTTCACTTTAGGCATTCAGTGGTCTGCAGCTCTTGCCCAGGCCCAAATACACCTGTCCCCTCAGCCCTGGGCCCCTGTAGGCTCACTGGGCCATGCACATCTGTCCCCTCTGCCTCGGGTCCCTGAACACTCAGTGGTTCACACAAACCTGTCTTCTGCCCCAGGGGGCCTGGGCACTTATTGTCCCACAGTCCCCAGAGCAGGTGCGGCCTCAGCGCCCCCAGCCTGTGTGCCTGCTCTGCATGTCACATCCTCAGCAACAGGCACATGGTTCTGCCAGTGGCTGTCTGATCTGTTGATTAATGGGTTGAAGAAACTCCATGCCCCAGACATGCACCCTTCCCTCTCTCCAGGCATCTGCCGGAACCTCAAGTCCATCGTGGTCCAGATTGGGATTGCAGATTACTTTAAAGAGCCCAGCAGTCCCGAGGCCCAGAAGTTGTTTGAGGACATGGTGACAAAACTCCAGGTGAGGGGTGTGGCCCTGTGTGGTGGGCCATGGGGAACCCACCCCATCCAGGTGAGGACTGATCAAGCCCTGTCTGCAGGCCCTGCGGCGGAGACCTGGTTTCTCCAAGATCTTGCACGTCAAGGTGGATGGCGGCTGCTAACCCGGGTTGGGGGGCAGCAGGGCCCCCGCCAGGACACTCCAGACCCCCAGAGGGACGCTGCTTTGGACTAGACCTTCAGAGGCCTCGTGTTAGCTCTGGTTTCCGGGGGTTGACAGTTTCTCATCTTCCTGCTGGGACAACAGAACCACGGACCCTGACCTGGCTACCCTCACTGGAGCAGGCCCAGCCACAGAGGAGCGGCCACCACCAGCATGGGTACCACCGTCCAGGGACCTGCAATAACCCCATGGCTCCTCGCTGGTTCAGGCGGGCCCCACCCCTCTCAAGGCCCCAGCCCCAGGCTGGACAATGCTCTACCCTGTCCTGCCCTCCAGCCCCTGTGGGGCACCTTCTCCAGACAGCCCACTAGACCCTGGATTCATGTTGGCCAGGGAGGTGCAGGTGGGCCTTGGGGCCTGTGTCAGCCAAAAGCTGGGCTGGAGGTGGATTTGGAAGGTTAAACCATTCAACCAAAATGTTCCCTCAAGGTACTGAGACCACCTTTCAAGGGGAGGACAGAGAGGCAGAAAAATATTTACAAGTATTTCTGTAAGATAAGACCCTCCGTCAAGCCTGTCACTCCATCACATGTGGTGCGTAAGGTGCATGTTTCTCACCTGCATACATTTCTGAGCCTCTGCAGGGTCGTGGCCCAGCTCTGGGAAACCCTGTCTGCATGGAGTGTCCTCCTAACCCAGATGCTGGGCAGGCGTCTGTGGCCTTTGCGTCCCTGAGGCTGTGTGGGTGGGAGTCTTCTACTGGGGACCTGAAGGTGGCTTGGTCTGTCCCTTCTCTGGCTAGCCGTCAGTTTAGAAAAGACAGAATGTAAGGGTTTTCCACTCATCTTGGCAGTCCCCCCGCAGACCAGCTGCTGGTTCCCAGCATCCAAAGTCCCAGAACCTCCACCTTGACAGACCATGGGATCCACCAATCTTCATTTGGAAAGTTCTTCTAAACAGCTAATCTAACTCCGTCTTGGGGTTTCCTGCCCTCCTGCGCAGGACTAGTCCCAGCTGGGGTCCCCTCCCATCCCTGTCCTCTCCAGGGATCAGCTTTGTGCCCAGCCTGGCTGGGACTTGGAGCCCCAAGAGTTGCCTTGTAACCCGTCCTCCCTGGCAGGCTCACACCCCCCAGCTCTGCAGCACCCGCCGCCCCCCCCAATTACCTGCTTTCCTCATCGCACTGGCCTCTGTGAAACTCAGAGTACCCACGGTATTCTGTCCCACTCTGTACTTGGCCTTGGTCATGACGTATGCCCTCTGTGTGGAACAGCTATGCCACCAGCTCCCACCTCCCAGGAGCCAGGGAACGAACAAAACTTGGTTCTGCCCTAGAGGGAGGTTGCCTGTTCCTGGTGTCCTGCCTTGGCACCTACGCTCTGCCCCCCCCAACCCATCTGCAATTCCAGGACCAGACAAAGCACAAAGGGAAGCTGCCGGCCTGAGCCAGCCCTCAGGTACACCCCTCCCTCGATAGGAGGGAGGCCATGAGCAGTTTCTCTCTGATGCCACCACGGACCCTGGGTAAAGGCTGGATGGCTGGGCATATGGGTACAGACAAGCAATGCAGGGGATGCCCACAGTCCATCCAGCTGTCCGCTGCCACCTTCCATCCTGTCCTGGTGGCAAGGTGGCCTCCCAGGGTTCTGAGTAGATGCCCAACCTAAATTTCTGACCTTGTATTTCCTGCTGTGTGTGGGGTGGACATGTCCCCTCAGCCACTGCCTGTAGGAATGGCAAGTCAATGTGTCTGTCCAACCGCACACCTGGTCCCAGAACTGGCCACCACGCACGTTAGCACCCAGTCCCAACAGCAACTGAATGCTGCCTCCCGGAAGATGTGCTTTCACTCACTTGCTCAGACCCTCCACTATTCCCTGCGGCCAGGCTGGCATGGGAACAGGATGGCAGGGCGTGGCCTCCCTGGAGGCTTGGCATCCCTTCTTCACCCCCCTCCTCCTCCTCATTCCACAACTAAGAGCTGAAGGGCACGAAGAGGCAGACCAGACACTCCTGGTGCCCCACCAGCCCTCCTGGGAGAGCCCCATCCTCACACCTGTGCGGTGTGTATGATTGGAGTATCCCACCATGCCTCACTAGATTTGTCCCCACACCTCTCACTGCAAACCCCTCTGGGGAGGGGGAATGGGTCTGCCCAAGGATCCAGGCATCTCGTGTTTTCGGAGACCACTCCCGAGAACAAGTTCTCCCCAGTGCCTGCTGCAAGGGTCAGCTCTTTGTCCTGTCATTGGGTCCTGCCTGTCCCCTTTTCCTGATCTTTCTTGGTGAGTGGGGAACTGGTGAACCTCAGTCCCTCTAAAGCACTAAACTGAGACCTTCACAGGGTGACTACTGGTGCCAAAGACCACCAACCAGGGGACATGGGATGGAAAGACTGAGGTGTGGGGCCTGAGTGACCAGAGGACACGGGCAGTGGGCCCTGCCCCCCATCTGCCCATCATGGGTATTGTCCCTGCCCCGAGGGGTTGCAGTCCTCTCCCCCAGGCCTGCCCTTGGTGTGCATCTCTGTATATACTGTTGTGTATTGTGTGTCTAAATTTATTACTGGACAGGTGTGTCCCTCTGCAGCCCTTGCCTGAGGATAAGGTTTAGGACTGAAGAGCAGAGGGCCATGGCCAGGGCTGACTAATGGAGAGGGCCACCTCCTCCCCAAACCCTTGGGGCCACAGGGCAGAGCACTGGTGACCAGGGTCTGGCTTTTGTGGGCACCAGGGGTGTCACTGTGCCCACCCTAAGCACATGAGGCAGAGAGGGGGCTCTCTTCCTTTTCTGTAACTTAAGTGGTGCCTGTACCTCCAGCCCCCAGGGGTTGCCCCTTCACTGCATTGCCATGCCAGCACTTTGCTCCAATCCCACTGATACCCCTGCCGAATGTACATGAGTGTGTGTGTGTAAAAGGACTCACGGGCATCAGGACTCATGGCTCTGTATCCAATAAAGATGGTGAAACTGGGCTGTCTCCCCTGGATACACGGGCGTGCTGGCTCATCCCACCCCCTGCAAGCGGGCTACCATGACGGAACACACGCAGTAACCAGAGCCTGTGAGTGGTGCCAACGGTTACACACCCTGCTGTTCACATGAAGGCTGGTGATTCAGGCGCCTTAACACAAAGGGTCTACTTCTGAAACTCGCCGTGGAGTGGAGCGCTGCTCTGACCCATGTGGGAGCCGAATGTTCCTCTAAGGCTTGGGGATCTTGTGTTTAGATCCTACAAGACTAAAAGATCCCCGGGGTAGTGTTTAAGGGTTCAACTGCTAATGACAAGGTCAACTGTTTGACACACATGCCACTCCATGGGAGAGACAGGAAGGAGTCTGCTTTTTCTGTAGGATGTACAGCCTTGGGTGTGAGGCAGCCAGCCTCCTTACCCAGTGTATGCTGTTGGGTCAAGACAGTAACCCTATGAACAGACCTGGACCCTGTCCTGTCCCATCCTCACAATCTCTGGCACTTGAGCCCATTGCTGGAGTCACTGCTGTCAATCAATCTTGTCGAGGGGTTGTCATCTTTTGCTGACCCTCCACCTTTTTTTTTAAAATTTTTTCATTTTAAAGAAATTTACAGAGACTTTGCATTTCCATTCATTCATCGTTGCAGACCCTCCACCTTTTTAAGTGTGCTGTCCCTCTCCAAGGAATAGCTTCTCCTTTGACAACACGACCATAGTATGTAAGATGAAGTATGCACATCTGCCTTCAAGAAGCACTCTGGCTGCCTTCTGTCCAAGACCTGTTTGTTCTTCTGGCAGTCCATGGGGTATTCAGTCCTTTTCTCCGACACAATTCAAAGGCATGAATTCTCCCGTCATCATTACTCAGTGTCTAGCTCTTAAGATGCACAGCAGGTGAATGAACACCCTAGACTGAATCAGACACACCTTAGTAATCTTTAAAGTGACATTTTTGCTCCTCAGTCCTCTGGAGAGGTCCCCCAAAGCAAGCACTTTTCCAATGCAATCAACCCATCTTTTGATTTTGTGCTTCTGGTAGGTACCAAAGGTGTTGAGTGTGGATCCAAGTAAAATGAAATTGATGACAATTTCAATCTTTTCCCCACATCATGATGTTGCTTATTATTCCAGTGGCAAGGGTCTTCTTGAGGTTGAATGGAAGGCTGTAGTCTCTGATCTTCTGCAAGCACTTCAAGTCCTCCTTGTTTACAGCAAGCAAGGTTGTATTACTTGCACAAGACAGGTTGATTTAAGTCGGTCTTCCTTCTATCCTGATGCCACACTCCTCTTCATAGAGTCTAGCTTCAGGAATTATTTACTTAGTGTAGACTGAATAGTTATGGAGAAAGAAGACAAGCCTGATGCTCACTTTTCTTGATTTTAAACCATGCAGTGTTCCCTTGCTTGGTTTGAATAACAGCGTCTTGGTTTAGGTATAGATTTTGTGTGAGCACAATTTTCTGGGAGCCCTTTTCTACAGGTTAACAATAGTTTATGATCCACAAAGTCAAAAGCCTTTGCAGTCAATATAACACATCTAGACATCCTTCTGGTATTCTCTGCTTTCAGCCACAACCCATCTGTCTTTAGCAATGAAGGTCCTGGTGGCATGGCCTCTTCTAAATCCAGTGTGAACTTCAGGGAGTTCTGTCAATTAACTGTTGTAGCCAGTACACGGGGTGATCTTCAGCAGTATTTTGCATGTAACATTATTGTTCTTGTTGCCTTCAAGTTGAGCACAATTTACAGCAACCCTATGAACACAAAGACCCAAAGCCCCTCTACAACTATCAACATTTTTCAGAGTTCATAGTATCCAGAGGCAAGTGGTTTAGGAAGTGGATGCCACTCCTGCTTCCAAATATGTGAAATTATTAACAATAATTATTTTTAAAAAATGGTTATTATTTTATAATTTTCATCATTGTTAGATAACCTTTCTTGGGAACAGGAACAGATACAGATCTCTTCCAGTCAGTTGCTGCAGCAGCTGTTCTTCACATTTCCTGGCATAGATTGGTGAGCGGGTTCCATCCTGAACTACTACCTCCTTCACCACCCTTGGCCCTTTCATGGTACTTCCTGAAATATTTTAGTGTCAACCAATTCTTTTCACTATAGTGACTCTGTATAGCTTCTATCTTCTTTTGATGATCCCTGGATCATTCAAGATTTTTTCCAACAATATTTTCAATACGGCAATTTGAGGCTTGAATTTAACGCTCCAGTTCTTTGCACTTTCCATTATAATACTTGGTTTTGTCTTCTAGAGCTGCCCTTTGAATCCTTTTGTTCAGGTCTGTTACGTCAGTATCTCTTCCCTTTGTACTGGCTTCTCCATGCTCTAGTGTAATTTTCAGTCTCTTCTGACATCCATTTTGGTTTTTTCTTCTGTATGTAATGACCTCTTGCATTATTCAGAGGATAGCTTTAATGTCACCCCTCAGCACATCTGGTGTTCATTCATCAGTGTTTAGTGCCTCAAACCTATTTTTGAAGTGGCTTTTAAATTCAAGTAGGAAAGACTCAAGGTCACAGATTGGTTTTCATTTTCTTCCATTTCAACTGAAACTTGCACAGGGGTTAATTCATGGTCTGTTCCAGTCAGCACTTGGCCTGGTTTTGACTGCTGATACTGAGCTTCTCCAATGAGGTCAATCTGATTCATGAGCAGTCCATCAGGTGAAGTCCAGGTGTATAGTTGCTGTTTGTATCTAAGAGAGGTATTAGCTATGAGTAACTGAACATATAAAATTCGATCATTCTATATTCATCCTTTCTGTCAACAAGAGAGGACTTCCCAGCTACCATTCTTCATTGTTTCCAACTCTTGCATTCTAGTCACCAATTATTACTGGTACCTTTTGATTGTGTTCAGTCAATTTTGGACTGCAAGTTAGTAGAAACCCTCTAATTCCTTTTTGGGTTTAGATGATAATGTGTATTTGAACAGCTGTGTTAAGAGATCTTTCTTTTTACAAATATGGAGAGTATTCTCTCACTCACAGCACTGTACTTCGGGACTGGAGCCCCATCCCAATGCATCCGCAGCCAGGACCTCCTGCATGGTCCTAATACTATAACTAGGCTCTCAAAAAGTGAAGACATGGAAGATCTTGAAAAGTAATGAGAGCCATGAATGGTCAAATGTAAAGGGTCCTCAGCAAAACCAAGTGCTAATTTTCAGAAACACCGGAGATAGGCAGGCAGTGGAATGATGCAACGTGAAGGAAAAAAAAGTAAGACCCAAACCAAGCCTGTCCATCAAGAACCTGACACCTGGTAAAACTGTCCTTCAAGAATGAGGGAGGGTGAGATAAAATAAGCCCAGACAGATGTCAAGAGTCCATGTCCACTAAACCAGGAAGGTAGGTCAAAGAGACAAGACTAGAAAGTAATTCAAAGTGATCCAGAAAAAGAAAGATCTCTACCAAAAAGAGATGCAAAGACAAGTGTTAAGAAACAGTAATAAGGTATTCTTTCATCTTTTGTCCTTCATACTTTGTAAGGACAAGCTAGTAAACAAAAGACACTGGTGTGGAAGAACGGCCCTCAGACACTGCAAACTGAATGGAGCCCACCTGGTGGGTGTTCCAGTCATCTTACCTCTGTGCACTTGGACAAGGCCACTTGTGCTGAGAGGATCTGATTTCCCAAGAGCCCTCAACTTCAAGATGCTGACTAAACACAATAACAAAAGTGCTGAGTAAGAGGGTCCAAAGCTGAGCCAGAAGCACAGAAAGGTAGGAAGTAGGAAGGGTCCCAGGTGACTGAACACATTCTGATAAAGTGGGAAGAGAGGCAGAATGGCTTGTGGCCTTGTGGAGAATGTGCTGGTTTCAAACAAAAGGCCCACATCCCCCCAGTGGATTCCAAAACCAAGACTGTGGCTAGATGGAGCCCCTCAGGCAGAGCCTGCCCCTGTAAGAAGCAGTCAAGGTTGCTATGTATGAAGTCCCCCTCCCAGAGCAAAGCTGGACACACCCACACACACACTGCCTTTAACAGAACCATGGTCAACAGGAGAGAGCATGCAAATTCTCATCACTGGGATGTCTGTGAGGAAACCACAGCATCAGATAATTTCTAAAGATAACACTAAGCCTTCAGTTTATTTAAATAAAGTCTAGGGACAATGGACTGGACCAAGTCCTACCCCTTCCTTTGGCACCACTCAGGCGCGATGGGGAGAGTGAAGTATGCACAAGGCCATCTTCAGTGGTCTCTTCAGTGGGGGCGACCCCGGCCTCGGCCCCTGCCCCCTGGAGGAGGGGCATCCACGGTGGAGCGGGGGTTCTTGATGGTCTCGTCAACTGATACGATGAGGCACGCGGCCTCAGAGGCTGCAGTCAGGGCATTGATGCGCACCATAGCCGGCTCCCACACGAAGGCCTCAAAGTTGTCAGTGATGTCCTCGTTGTTGATGTCCACGCCGTACCACATGCCTCCCTGAAAAACGGGAGGAAACAGAGGGAGGAGGAAACAGGACAGGTGACGTTAAATGGCTCCTGCACGCTCTCCACAGGGCCGAGGGTGCCTAGGAAAGTCCAGACTGTTGGCAGTGCTGCCTGAGCAAGACTTCCTGTGGCCACACAAAAGAAGTGGACACACTGACTGCACCGAGCTCTGGGTCCTCTTCCAGGCAAGCTGCCACCGTAGGTGCCCATGCTCAGAGTGCCTCAGTTACAGACACCAAATCAGGATTCCTCAGGGGACACACACACACACACACACACACACACACACACACACACACACACACACACAGGATTCCTCAGGGGACACACACACACACACACCACACCCCCCCCAAATACTTTTGAATCCCTTACTGTACCAAACCATAGCTTCAGCGAGTCATTTTACAGATATGGAAGGGGGAAAGACTTGCTTAAGATCCTAACAAAAGTCAAAGTCACTACCCGAGTGCTGCTGGCATAGATGTACTACATCCTACAAATTCTCAGCAGTGTGAAAAACAAGTCTGTGCAGGTCACAGGGCCCCACAGCCCTCCCAAGTGCACTCCCTGTACTGGAATGACACAGGAGAGGTCCTGGGCCTCTCAGCCAGACTGCACTCCCCTGACCTCACGGGGCCCGGGGCCAGCTCAGTTTGCTCTGATTTCACCACCTGAGCTGGGCTCAGGGCACACAACATGTCCACTCTGGTCCTGAGCACCCAGCAGGGCCAAGAACTTCTGCACTCACAGCCCATCTTCAGAGCACACACAGTGTCCACCCTGGCCCTGATGGGAACGCCTACCTGGGCGTGCCGGGCCCGCAGCTTGTTGAGGATGTTGGTGGCATCAAAGCCAGCATTGTCACACAGCTGGCGTGGGATGATCTCCAAGGCTTTGGCATAAGCTCCAATCAGCAGCTGCTGCTTTCCTGGGATGGTCCTGGAGTAATCTCGAAGGTACCTGGAGAGCTCCATCTCAATCGCCCCACCACCAGCCACGACGGAGTCGTTCTGCAGAGACCACACCCACACCTCAGCACCCTTGGCACCCACCAGTGCCAGCCAGTCTACCCTGGAGTGCGGCTGCGTCCTCCCCAGCCCAAGCCTCAGCGCCCAGCTCACAGCACTGTCTGCAAACCCCAATCACCTGCCAGCAAATACAATGGCACTGAACAAACACAAAAGCACTGGGCGGGCTGGCCGGCTGTAACTGCCCTCGTCTGCTGGTAGGGACCAATCCAAGCCCAAAGGCGGCATGACTGACTTATGAAGGCTCAGGCTCAGCTTCTCTGACTTTGGGCCAAATGAGGACCTTTCACAGCACCCCAGGATGACAGGCTCATGAGACAGTAATTCCCAGACAGAGGCAGCATCCTGGAAGCTGGCACTGTCACGCAGGCAAGAGGCCAGTGGCCAGTACCTTGATGGCCCTCCTGACGATCATGATGGCGTCATGTAGGGACCGCTCTGTCTCCTCCATGAACTGCTCGGCCCCGCCGCGGAGGATGATGGTGCAGGTCTTGGCCTTGGGGCAGCCAGTGAAGAAATTGTACCTGTGAGTAGAGCAGACATACACGATAATGCATTTCACTGGATGGTGGGCATGCTCCCACCAGCCCACCTCTCATGCCACGTGGCAGCTACCCCACAGTTATCACAGGGTCCCCAATTCTACCCTCAAGATATCTGTTTCACAGAGTCCGAGACATAAAGTTGAGTACAGCCAGACCTCCGACCTAACTAGGCCTTTCCTCTCCTCATCAAACTCTAGGTACCTGAGTTTCATGTGCCGCTAGAAGCCCAACACCTACAGATCACTAGCAGACAGCTAGGCCTCGGCTCACCTCTCACCCCCAATCTGGGTCTCCTCGAAGACCTCGCAGTGGCCAAGCACATCGGCTGAAAGAGCGTTCACGCTGGTCTGGATGGAGCCGCCACAAGCCTGAGCGGCACAAGGAGGGCTTGTTATAAGGGACCCTCCCGCTACCCCAACCCATTGCCACCTTGTATAACACACTCTGCCCTGGAGCCCAGAGCACCGTGCTGGGTAGCCTCAGCCTCACAGGGAGAACAAAGAACAAAAATGCAGGGAAGGTGAACAGGAATAGTCCAAAGGAGACAGGGCCTCTGCTGCAGGTCACTCCGCCCAGGACCAAAGCCAGGAGGAGGGTTCCACATGTGACAGTGCCTTTCTGGATGCTCAAGAAGGACAGAAAGAAACTGGCGAAAGCCTCAGCACGGACGTATCCAGCCAGTTACAGCACATTGCTGGGCACCTGCACAGACTGGTGTGATCAGAACAAAGCAGGAAGCAGGAGTGAGCACATATGGCCAGACGGCATGCATGAGGACTGGCTGAGATCAGTCAACCTGACCGTATGCTCCCATATCCCAGGAGAGAGGCCTGTCAAAGTGTGCTTACCATCATTGTTCTCTTCAGGTCCTCTTCAGGCACTCGGCCAGCACAGAACATGTCCCTGTCAGCGAAGTACTGGGTGGCCACATCCCCAATGGGGAGTTTGGACAAAACGACTTTGGCCCCCGAACGATGGATCCTCTCTAACTTGTCATAGAGAATGGTCCACTCAGCATCAACAATCGCCTGATAATCCTGAAAAGGGTGAGGGCCTTTTGGGTGAAATTAGCACATTTGACGGCTAATCAAACACCTTAATTTAACTGAGAGTTAACAGGGGCCAATAGGACAACCTTTCTGTGGTCCCAAATCCACTGAAAATCTTCAGAACAAGTGTAAAGTTACCAACCACAGGGCTGGTAGTGGCTCTGAACTGGCAGAATTGGGTGTGTGTGTTGGGGTGAGGTAGTCTGGCCGCCCTCTGAGGCACTGTACCCTGGGATTCAAAGGACAAAGCCCCCTTCCCAAGGCGCCCACAAATCTGCACTGAGGATAACCAAGAATGCCTGCTTCTTGCCAAGTGACACTGGGAGCTCCAAGAGCAGCCTCAAAAATACCAACCAAAGAGAGGCGCATGTCAGCACAGCAGTGAACCTGTCTACGAGGTAAGCCCACCAGTGACTGGAAATACTGCGCAGGCTTAGTAAAAGCAATGCCCACCTCTCTGGAGCCTCAGCATAACATTTCAAACAGCTCTTGACCATCAAAGTCTCCTCAGGTCGAACAGAACTCTGGGTTCAGACATCAGTACTTAGCAGGCAGGAGGAACAAAACTCCTGAAGAGGCTTGAAAAGCTACGCTGGGCCCCAGGCAGCCCCAAAGCTGCAGAATTTGGCCCAAGAAGCGGCTGTGTCCAGCCCTGTGCATGTCCCTACCTCCACAGTATGGACTCTGATCTCAGCATTGTCCTTCTCTGCTTTCAGCTCAAGCTCAACGTTGAGAAGGGCAATCGTGGGACGGTTGTACTTCTTGGGCTGCATTTCAAACCCAGCGTAAGAGAACGTCTTCTTGAAGGCAACGCCAGCGACGAGCTGGGACTCCTGTTTAAACAAAATTCCACAGCTCAGAGCTGACAAGAAACCAAGTTTGCTGAGGCAGAATGTGTTTGTGGCTGTGAGCCTGAAAGGGTGAACTATGTCCCGACAAAAGAGCAGCATGTTTTTGTGGCCCCTTCAAGAGAAGAAAAAGCATCTCATTTTTAGATATTAAGTGCGGCAAAGGCCTGCTGGGGTGTTCTTTACGACTGGCCGCTACAGCATCTGCTGACAGGTGATGCTCAAGTCCTCACACCATCAGAAAAGGACTTACCATGAGCAGCAAAGCAGAGGCTGTCCCCTGCTACTGCGTGGGCCCGTCACTTGCAAAAACACACATATTCCATCTACGTGCTGTAGCCTAGCTCCCCCCAGCTCAACACATATACACGGAACCAAAGGGATTCTGGGAAGATGCAGAGAAGCAGATGACGGTGACGGGACCCGGGCCACCTCCTCCAGGTGGGGGAGACCTGCCCTGCCTTGCACATTAGGCCACCGGAAGGGTGTCCAGGAAAGCAGGCAGCTTATTGGAGGCTGCAGCTGTCTCACCTCTAGGGCTCCGCCCTGCACCTTCTTGATCCCGATCATCTTGAGCTGCAGCAAGTCATCGAGCATCATCACTGCGTGCATCACCATCTTGGCAAAGAAGGCCTTCTGCTGGGAGATGAGCTTGGAGCTCAGAGCGGTCATCGCACACTTCTCCAGCAGCTTCCTCTGCTCCCTGAACACAAGGCGGGAAAGCCCTTTTGTGGTTCCATGACAACAAGGACATCTCAGCCAGCCTAACGTTCTGCATCTTCAGACGCAGTATTATCAAGGGCAGAGATGGCAGTCATACTTAAAATCATCTGCAGCCTCTTTTCGAACGTGGCGAGGGTTCAGTCAGGGGTCTGAGAGGCGCCATATAGGCCCAGGCCCAAACTGAGATTAGAACACACGTCTATGTTCAAACTGTGCACAGGCAAAGCTCTGTGGAAACTGAGGCAAACTTACTCTTTATCCTCCTTCTTGACGGCCACGGCGATCTCCCTGATCTTGTTAACTGCCTGCCAAGACAGAAGTAGAGGTTCTCTCATGGGGACGTGGATTCCAGAGCCTCCTGCTCACGCTCAATCTGCTCACTCCCTCAGGTTAAACACCTCAACTCCAAGCTAAGCAGCCCTGGTGACGCAGTCCGTAAGGAGCTGCGTCTCTGACGGTTCAAACCTACCAAGAGCTGCTTAGGTGGAAGATGGCCAATCACCTCCAGTGTGATTTTACAGGCTCGGAACACCCGCTGAAGAGCCAGTATGAGCTGGTTACAACTCAAGAGCAAGGAATACAACCAGGAGTATTCTAAGGTTAAATAATTTCTGGCTCACTAAAAGCTGGACCACAACCTCCAACACATTGCACTATGTCTCAAAAGCCCTCCCTTTTCCTGGAACTCATTTTAATGCCATCACAGACAAGATTCCCAGGAAAGGGAGGGAGGAGAGCACAGTGGGATCAGGTGACGTGCTCCATGGCCTCAAAATGGACCAGGAGGTAGCTGCTAAGAAGGAAACCAAGCTCTCAATTACCAAGTACCTCTGATTTCAGGTGCTGTGTCAGTCACTCCAGAGATGACCACCTCAAATCACAGCCTTTAGGAAAGACTGAAACCCAGAACAACTAAGCAAGGCAGGTAGTGCAATGGCAATGAAATCTAAGGGGCCAAGCTGAGAGCTGAACTCAGAAGATGCTCAAGAACACTGCTCTTGAGCCCTCTGTAACTCACATGAGAGAATCATCTTTGCTAAGGGAGACAGGGAGGCACTCAGAGCAGGGTCAGGAAGGCCGCACAACGTACCAGTTGGGTAGCAGTGCGGAAAGCGCGGACGATGATCTGGGGGTGCAGGCCTTCCTCCACGTAGGGCTTCACCTGCTTGAGAAACTCAGCAGCCAGTAGGGTCACTGAAGTGGTGCCGTCACCGACCTGGAAGAGCAGAGCAGCAGACATGCAGGCACTAAGGCCCCACCCTCCAACACCATGTGCCTGATTAAGAGGAACTCTTAATGGACTAACACAAAGTCCAGTGAGTTAAACCTGACAGCTGCTCTGAGGAAGAAAGAGGTGGCAGTCTGCTTCTGTAAAGACTACAGCCTTGAGAACACTATACTCTATAGTGAACCCTCCACGTTACTGCTGTCGGCTGGCCTGTGGTGACACTGGGTGCACAGGAGAGCGCTGGAGGCTTCAAGACCATGACTGTTCAAAAGCCGACTACCAGCCCTGTCTTCCACCATGCCTCTGGATGGGTTTGAACCACCAACCTTTGGCTAGTTGTATAACCAGTGGTATCACCCAGGGGTTCCACACACCCAATGGTACTTTTACAGTGCAAACCTGCTGTTCTCAGCATTACCCGTGTTCCACCATGGGAGTGAACACAAAGAGCTAAGCATACATAGGAACTGGTCATTACATCTGTTTGTATAGGCATGAACCCTGACCAACTAGGTAATGAAACTGTACAGAGAGGAAAGCAAAGCTCTCATGTGAGCATCTGCTATTTATTATTAAACACACAGCTGACCCTACCTCAGCGTCCTGGGACTTGGCAATGTCCACCAGGGTCTTCGCTGCCGGATGAACGACGTCGAGGAGCTTGAGAATTGTGGCTCCATCATTAGAAATTGTTGCTTTACCTTAAAAGGAACAAGCACAAGGTAAAAATTTAAAACACCTTTCTTAAACACTGTCCTGAGAGGGGGCGAAGGGGCCCAGGCAGGGACTAAGGGAAGAGGAGATCAACAGCAGTCTATAACGATCAGCTCTGCCTGCAGGGGGCCCACTAAAGTCACAAGATGCCCAAGATCACCATCTCCCAGGTTCCATCTGTCCTTTTCTCTCTGGATTACCAATTTTATTTGCTTCTTTATTCTCAGTTTATTTACTGTCCATGTAATCACCTAACATACCAGCTTTTAACTTTTCCTAAAAGTTTATAAATCAGGGGAGCTCTAGTGGTCCAGTAGCAAGAAGCTGCACTGCAACCCCAGAGGTGTGTGGTTCAAATCCATCAGATGCTCTGCCGGAGAAGGAGGGGCAGTCTCCTGTACCAGTCAGATCCGATCTGACGGTACACACACAAAATAATAATAAAAAAATTTTTTTAAAAGGCTTATAAATCATTTATACAGATTTTGTTTGATAACATTAATTATGACTGATAAGTCTATCTTCAATTCTCTTTAAACAGCACTGGGCACAGCTAAACCTGATGTGAGGACTTTAATGCAGGTATCAGCTTGTATCTCACATGTCAGTGGAAGAGAAAAGGGCATCATCTACCTCAGCTTCATTATGCAGTGAAGAAAGCCACCAGAGGCAAGGCCAATGCCAGTCAGAAATGAAAACAGATAAATCCACCACTTGATCGTGTGACTGCACTCCAGTGACATGCTCTCCAGCATTCAGGTTCTGAGATCATCGAGTTTGCGAGGCCCGTGGGTGTGGAACGCCCCCAGCCCAGCCTCTAGGGAGCTAAACAAGAAATGTGGAGGCTGGAGTGCTGCCGAGAACACAGAGAACAGCGAAGTGTCCACCATGCCTCGCCAGCCTGAGCCCACACCGCATGGTCCCACCAGCCAGCTCTTAGGACTCAGGGCCACACTGCTCCGTTCTCTCCGCATCCCTCACCACTGGAGGGCCTTCTGCCTATCCAAGTTTGCCTCGTGTTTCCAACCCAACGCTAGAGCGCACAGGCCTAGTTCCATCCACTCTTGTTCACCAGCCTGTGTTGTTTTCTAGGCCCGATTCTAGGTGGCAATCACCCTACAAGGTGCTCGGCTCCTGAGGCCTCCTGACTCCACATACTCTCCCAGGCTCAGCATGCAGGATCATGTCCAGAAGGGAATGGTTCAGTTAGTAATCCCATAGGAAAAGCACAGGGGTTTCCCCCAGCCCTTAACACATCCGAGGAGCCTCTGTGGCCACACAGTGGCCTCGAGAAACCCCCAGCCTCACCTCGGCCGTCCACGATGAGCTTGTCCATGCCGCGAGGGCCCAGCGTGGTGCGCACGGCCTCAGCGATCACCTGGCAGGCGCTGATGTTGCTCACCAGCTGAGGAATGCCTTGGGAGCTGTCAGTCCCCTCCTTCAGGAGGATGACTGGTGTGGGCTAAAGAAAGAGAAGTGCTTGCTTTTAATACGTCCTCAAGTAAACCATTACTACAATGAGACTCAAGGTGGAGGGCGGGGAATTGTGTGTTCCCACTCCCTGGAACTCAATGAACTAACTGGAGGCTTTTTCAAAGCTACATTCCCCAACCACCAGATCACAGCACTTCGTGCAGATGTGCAGGAGTGGAAAAGGATTTGAGAAGCACTGACCCGGACCAATGAACAAATAAGACTATGTGCTCTCCAGTGTCCACTAAATGGGCACAGTGGTCACATTCCATGCTGAGGAACCTGTCCAGCCCAGAGGAAGCAGGCCATGCCCAGTGCTCACTCCCTCCACAGCCCACTTGGATGTAGCAGAGGGGCAGTGTCTACAGTGCCAAGGGCTGCAGAACTGTCCTGGAGATGCCCAGCAGGCACTTCCTGGGGCCCCCGAAGTCTGAGCTAGGACTAAGGGAAACAGGCAGCACCTTTGTTCTGCCTCATAGATGAGAGCAAGCCCAACCCTTACAGCACCTTCTCCACATGGTCACCTCACGACGGCCCAGTGACTCAGGCCCAGCCGGAGCCCCCAAAGACATTTTCCTCTACTTTACATCAGTCTCCAAAAGACGCACGCGTTCCCATCCCAAACTACTGCTGTGGGTCAATTCCAACTCGTGACCCTCCATCAGGTTTCTGACGCTTCAGATCCTTTACGGGAAGCAACTGCCAACCTCTCAGCTGACAGCACATTACGCCTCATCACTAGTAACTCCTAACTTGCAGACCTTCTTTAGAAACTATGGAAGACCGACAATACTGCCCACACTATCATCATTCCAGTGACAACGAGGACCCTTCACTTCAGCCAAGCTCTCAGCACCCATGCCCAAGCCTTCAGAGCAGTTCACAAATCAAGACAAGTCTTCAAAATCCGGGTCTAAAATTAGCCTTTTTAAAAACACATGTGACTTTCTTTTCCAAGAGGGGAGGGTACTTGGGGGAAGGAGGGGATAGGAGGGGAGAAAAGTGCAACAATGAATTAATGGAAACAAAGTCTCTGTAAATTTTCATTGACATTATTAATTTTTTTTTTTTTTAAAAATAAACCAACCCAAAAAAACCACGTGAAACAAGATGTAGTCAATATTTTGAAACTTTTGTTAGTTTTATGTTAATTAGTTTTCAAAGTCACTACGACTCACAGTGGCCCACGAACAACTCAGAACCTTGCCCGACCCTGCGAGGTCCTGTCTCTGCCATGCTGGAGCCCCCGAGTACAGTCACCACGTCAACCCATCTTACACAGAGTTGTCTTTATTCTCTGACTCTCCACCTTTCCCAGCATGTCATCTTTTTCTGGGGACTGGCCTCTCCTGACAATATACCCAGTGTACATGAGATCTAATTTCACCATCCTTGCTTCTCAGGAGCACCCCGGTTTACTTTCTCCAAGACAGATTTTTCTTGTGGCAGTCCACTGAATATTCAATATTCTTCCTCCACACTATAAACTATAATTCAAAGACTTTGAATCATCTTCAGTCTTCCTGATGCACTGTCCAACTTTCAGGTTCACAGAAAGCAACTGAAAAAAGCATGACTAGGCTCAGGTACAACTAAGTATTTAAAATGACAACCCTGCCACTCTGGAAAAGGTCTCTGACAGATCTTCATAACACAACACATCTTTTGATTTCTTGACTGCTGATATCACAAGGGGTTGATTGTGGATTCAAGTAAAATGAAATCTTTGACAACTTCAATCTTTTCTCCATCATGATGTTGCCTATTGGTCTAGCAGTGAGGATTTTGTGTTCTTGATGCTGAGATGTAATCCATATTGAAGGCTATAGTCTTTGATCTTCTACACTGCTTCAAGTCATTGCTTTCAGTAAGCAAGGTTGTGTCATCTCTACATAACACAAGTTGTTGAGGAGTCATTCTCCAATCCTAATGCTACATCCTTCTCAAATGCATACACAGGAGGAAAGGTATAGAGGAAGAATAGGTACGTTGTTATTAGGGTGGGATTTAAAACTAATTTCCTACTTTGGATTGCCTCAGTATGTTTTAAAGCCACCCTTTACTCATAAGGGCCCAAGAAAGGCCAGCACAGGAGACCTCAACCTAATAGTGACTGAGGAATTTACATACCACGGACAGCCCACCAACTCATGAAGGTGAGTGACTCCCCACTCCCCGTGTAGTCTCTTAAACAAGGAGGACATTTGTGAACACAAATGGCTTTTCCTAGGCCACTTCCCTTTGCCACGTGGCTGGATGGGAACATGCAAATAGAACGGGTAAGTTTACTCATAGGGACACTGGCCAGTATGCTGCCAGGTTCAAATGAAGCAGGTTCAGTGGCAGAAATTGGGAATTTGACTGCCAGCAAGAAAGCTGCAGACAATGACTACAGAGCATGTCCTCTGGGCCAGACACTCCTGAGCAAGTCAGACCAGAATCTACAAGAGAGTACCAAGCAGTCACAGTAGGGAGTCAGAGACCAACGTAAGACATGGCTGGCCTGGGACTGCTGCCACAGAGTCAGAGCTGGGGGCCTTTGCCAACCCAAAGGTGGTAGGTTTGAATCTACTGGCTGCTCCACAGGAGAAAGATGGTTAATTTCTTCCAGTATGATTTACAGCCAATGAAAACCTGAAGGGTCAGCTCTGAGTTGGTTACAGCACTACAGCAGTGAGCAAGTGAAGTCTTGTCATACTGGACTAAAGCCAGCTGAAGGGCCTGTGAGTATGCTTAAGCAGCTATCCTGACTGAGAAATTACAATCTGTTGCCAACCCAAACTAACTTGTAACCTTCCCTAGTAAACCCCATAGTCATGATTTTGGTTCTGTGACATCTAGGTAGCTATTGCAATGAATGTGGCACCCAGTACCAGAAGTAAGACTGGTGTTGCCATTAGCAGAAATAGGTGTGTGGGGGGGGCATTCTTGACCTCACAGGAGGTCAAATATGGCCACCCTCATTCTTTTAAGATCTGACCAGTGTAGCTGGAAGGTAATGAGAGCAAGAGGGAGACTGGAATGAGGGTGAAGAGGAGGCAAGCAGAAACCAGGTAACATATACTAGTAAGTCAGGTAGTTTGAATCCACTACTCACTCAAGAGAGAGGCATCTCCTCCTGTGTGATTCAGGGCCTTTGAAAACCTGCTGCAGGGTCAGCTGTGTGTTGGTTCTGCCTTGACAGCACATAATAACAAAGGAAGTCATGGAAGGTGGAGAGATTGTCTTTCTATTGTGCAGGAAGTCCTATCCTAGAAAGGCTTACAGTGTGGGAATGTTACAGCTTCATTTGTATTTTGAAAAGGAAAAAAGGGTAGAGGATGGACAGGAGACAAAAAGATATAAAAGCATAAATTGATTGGAAGGATGGTGCAAAAACTGTGGAGCTAATAGAATGGGAACAAAGGATTTTTGACTCCTCAGACTAACTTTTTATTTCTAATGAGTATGTTTTACTCATTTTTCAAGATTTATGGCACATGGAATGTTAATGGTATTGTTTGGTAATTTCCACATTCTGTTGGATCACTTTTTCGGGGAATAAGAACAAATATAGATCTCTTCCAGTTGGTTGGCCAGGCAGCTTTCTTCCAAATTTCTTGGCATAAAGACTGGAGAGCATGTCCAGACCTGCATATGTTTGCTGAAACACCTCAAATTGTAGTCTAACAATTCTAGGTCTTTTTTTCTTTTGCCAATGCCTTAAGTGCAGTTTAAACTTCATCATCACCATTGATTCTTGATCACCTACTACTTCCTGAAATGGTTCAGTACTGATTAACTCTTTTTGGCAATGGAACTGTGTATGCGTTCCATCCTGTTTTGAGGTTTCCTGGATCATGATTTTGCCCACAGCATCCATCAGTATTGCAACCTGAGGTTTGGATTTGTCTTTAGTTCTTTCAGCTTCAGAAATGTCAAACATGTTTTTGCTCAACAAACCTTCTGCTTTTCTAATTCTAGCTCTTAGTAAATTTTGTTAAATATTTTTATTTTTTTTCCTCCGAAGTTGCCGTTTGAAATTTTCTGTTCATCTCTCTTACTTGTGTATTTCTTCTCTTTATTTTGGCTTCTTTAGATTCCAGTGCAAATTTCAGTGTCTTCTGACATCCATTACTGTTTCTGTAATGATCTTTTGTTTTCATTAATGCTGTTGTCATCCTGCAACTTGTCTGGTAGCAGCAGTCAAGATATCAAAAGACCGCTTCAACGATTTAGATCCTCCCAGAAGAGCTGTTGGTGAGTGTTAACATTACTGGTAAGTATATTCGTTTTCTCCTGGACACAAGAGCCTACTATTTGGTCCTAAAAGCCTTCTGAGGGCCCAACTCTTCTCACTATTTCTTAGTTGTTGGAATTGACGGAAAATCCATAAGCAGTTCCTTACTTCACCTCTGCCTTGCATGCGGACTTCCGAGTTGTAGAACAACCCAGTGTTAGATGGTATTTGCTCCAGGACTTAAGAACAATAAATGACATAGTTGAGCCTTTACATCTTGTGGTTACTAACCTTTATACTATAATAGACAAAGTGCTAGTCAATAGGCCTTTTATTGTAAGAACTACCTTCCCTCTGTAACTTGATTTGTGCCACTATTAGAGCCTCTACTTGGAATATTATTGCTTTTTAATTTTTGACTCATGTACTTTTAACTTGTTAAATGTGTGTCTTCTAGGCTGCTTCACTTCCATGATACATCTTCAAGGATATGAACATGTACAGCTAGCTAAGCACAACTGATAACAGTGCATCTAAATTCTAAAATCAATCTCCACAATAGTCTATGTGTTTCCTGTCCCTCCTTGCAACATGTCCAAAGTATGTTAGACAGAGCCTTAGAATCCTTGCCACCAAGGAGCAGCCCAGTTTGACCCTTTCCAGGATGAATCTATTTATTTTCCTAGCAGTCCATGGTACCCTCAATACTCTTCTCCAGCACCACAGCTCAAAGGCATCAATTCTCCTTCTGTCCTCCTTAGTCTTGAGTATACCAGAGATAATATCACACTGGGTAAGTCAAGGTTTATGAACTATGGAAGGAACAAGTAAGTTTGTCCTGGAGAAATAACATCCAGAGTGCTCTTTAGAAGCAAGGATGGTGAAACTTCATCTCACATACCCTGGGCATGCTGTTAGGAGGCGGCAGTCCCTGGAAAAAGACAGCAGTGAAAGAGACAAAAACTCAGCAAGATGGATTGACACAGCGACTGTAACAATGACGTCGAGCCTATCAGAGATGATGAGGATGGTACAGGATAGGGCAAGATTCAGATCTGGTTTTCACAGGGTTGCTATGAGTAGTAGTTGGCTCAAGGGCACTTCACTACAACCACCACCATCAACAACACATATTATAAGGGGCACTGACAAGCCAGTGATTGAATTCTTGCTTTCCACTCAGGACATCCAGGACCTGTGTACTCTGTGTACAGCCTAGAAGCATGTGCATTGCTGTGATGTTAAGTAAGTTTCAGTAGAACTTTCAAATTAAGGCAAACAAGGAAGAAAAGTCTAATCATTTGCTTCTGCAGATCTGAAATAAAAGCAGCGATGACTGTAATAAGTAGCTTTATGTTCCATTGTGCATAAGGTCCCCTGAACCAGGGAGTTAAAACAGTTAACGTCATCATATACAGGAAGCATGAAGGAAGGGACACAAATACACTAGAGCACTGGCCTGGTGTCACTCAACACACTGAGAATGAACAAGGGCTTAAAGCAGCTAAACACAGATACCCCAGGTTCACTATATTTTGCAGGACCTATAGAAACAGTCTTGATTTTGGGGCGAACAAAGGGAGTCAAAAAGACCAAGAGAGCAAAAGACATTTTGTATTGGGACAATCTGCTCGCAAAGACCTCTCCAAAGTGCTGAGGAGGAAGGCTATCAGTTTAAGGACTAAGGCAAACCTGATCTAAGTCATGGTGTTTCCAACTGCTTCCTATGCATCTGAAAGTTGGACGATGAATAAGGAAGACCAGAGAAAAAAATGTAAAAAAAAAAAGTCGTCTTTCAACTATGGTGGTGGTGAAGAGGGGAAAATATCCCACAGACTGCGGAAAGAACAAATAAATCTGTCTCGGAGGAAGTCCAACCTGGATGTTCCTTAAAGGCAAGAATAGTTAAACTTTTGTCTCACATACTTTGGCCATGTTGTCAGGTGAAGCCAATTCTTGAAGAAAGACACATGTTGGGAAAGGTAGAGGGTCAGAGAAAAAGACAAACATGAAGGTGGACTGAAAATGACTGCAACAACGGGACTCCACATGTAAGCGAGTTTGAGGGTGGTGCAGAACAGCACAAGGACTGCTGGAGTCCTAGCCAACGGCACAAGCAAAGTGAAGAGTACGAGACATACTTGCTGTAGAACATAAAAGACTATAGCTTTCAGAATGGACTGTATTTTAACATCCAAAAGACAAAAATCAAACCAATGTCTGTTTGAGCACAATAGTGTTTGTATGAGCAGAATTAAGCATGGTGGCATTCTCATTCTTCGCCATGTTAGCCATAGTTTGTTATGATCTAATGCTTTTGCATAGTCAATAAAGCATAAATTGGCAAAAAAGGAAAAAAAAAAGGCAAAAATCCTCACTGCTGGACTGATCAGCAATACCAAGATGGACTGAGAAAAAAATTAAACTGTCAACAATTTTACCTTACTCGGATCCACAATACGCACACTTGGTCCCAGCAGTCAGGAGATCAGATGTACTGCACTGGGCAAGCCTCCTGTCACGGACCTCTCCAAAATTCCAAAATACTGACGATGTTAGTTTGAAGACCAAAATATGCAGATGACAGAAGAGGAATTAATGCCTTTGAGTCGTGATGGTGAAGAATACGGAATAACCCACAGACTGCCAAAGGAACAGATATGTCTTAGAGAAGGTACTCCCAGAATGCTCCTTGGAGACAAGGATGACAAAGCTTTGTCTTTCATACTCTGAGACTATTCCTCAGAGAGGGGCATCATGCTTGAAAAGTGGAGGATCAGTGAAAGAGAGGAAGACCCTCAACCAGGTAGATTGATACAGTGACTGCAGCAATGGGCTCAAGTGTGTTAGATGATGAGGATGGCACAGGACAGGGTTCAGATCTTTTGTTCATGGACTCACTGAGTCATATCTGACAGCCTCTCATAAGAAAACAACAAAAAAAGGAGAGAGTTTGAAAAGGGCACATAGCTGGCCTGGGCCACATCCAGCCAGGTGAATCCTTTTCTATTATTTCCCTAGGGCTAGGCACTGCTGAGGAAAGCAGTGTTTGTCCCTAAATTATTTTCCAATCCCGCTTTCACTTCTCAAGTAAAGAAACAACAGCATAATGCAGCAAATTGCCAAAGACATCATGGAAGGCTTAGGAATTCTAGCTGAGTAAACTACCTCTTCACCCTTCTTAATGTTCTACATAACCAGAAACTATGCTTACTAGGGAGCTCTAGTAATTTAGTGCTAAGGAACTGAGAACGTTACTACCAGGAAAAAAAGCAAGCAGTAAACCACCTGGCTGAAATAACAGCCAACATTGGCTGGGTGCTTGCGACATGCCAGGTACAGCCCTGAGTACCTAACCCGCATTTATTCACTAAATCCCCTACAGGGAGCTCTGGTGGCCTAGCCATAAGAAACTGTGCTGCAATACTAAAGGCAAGTGGTTCAAATCCACCAACTGCTCCGAGGATGAAAGATGGGACAATCTCTTTCCATAAGCGCCTGTGAGAACTTACTGGGAGGGTCAGTTCCAACTGGACGGCACACAATAACAATCATATAGAAGAACGCAAAGCTTACTCTCAAACTCTCTAATTCAGAGCCAGAAATCAAAGTCCCACAAATAATAAGAGAACTCAGAAAATGAGGTCTTCAGGGACACGAGATGTTGAAAGCACAGTGAAAATAGGAGAGCTTTGCTGATAAAACGCTCAGGTCCCTCCTATCACGGGCGCGAACAGAACCACAGGGCATTTGGCAGCAGAAGGAACACCGCACAGCAGTCACCCTGGCGTCGACGCGGGCAGGGGCACCAGCAGGGAACTGAGTGCCGACTGAAATGAATGAACCAACACTCAGTGCCCGGGAACCACACGGCAGAAGATCTGCCGGCAAACCCCACTGAGGAGCCGACCCAGGAGACACCGTCCAGGATCGGGGATCCACGGACTGGACCTGCCGGGCCGAGAGGGAGAAAAGGGGTGTTGGGATGGGACAGAGAGACTCGGCGATCCAGCGGCCTCCGGGGGGTCAACCGGGACTGCATAACCGGCGGGGCGCACAGGACCAAGGTGTCCACCTCTGAGCAAGGAAGCCCCCCCCCATCCTGCACCCGCTGCACAAGCCGAGCCTGGCATCAAGCATAGTTACAGGCAGGTAAGTTAATGAAAATACACGTGGAAGAGTGCTCCACATGTACACCGCGCTGGGTAAGATGCGGGACCGTGAGCGACCCGAGGGTCAAGCTCTGGGCTCCGCCCGCGTAATACAGCCCCGGTGCTGCCGCCTTCCCAGGACAACCGAAAGCAGCGTGTGCACTGAATACACTCCTTCCAAAAAAAGTCTTGATGAAAGAACCCCCAAACAAAGCGGGTTCTCCTTGAGCTTCCCGATGTAGACGTGCGGGCTCCTAGCACTCCGACTCTCGAGCCTCCCCGCGGGTCTCCCGGAACTCTCATCAACGGCCCTTGTCACGGGCGCCGACTGAGATGGGCCGCAGTGGGCGGGGGTCGTCCCCAGGCCAGAGGTGGGGTGGAGACAGGGTTAGTGGGAATGGAAGGGGCTCATGATGTTGGAACCGGGCAGGCGACGTGAGCCCCGAGCCAGATGGCGGTGGATGCACGACACGCCACTCACCATCATCCTGAAAGCTTATCTAGCGGCCCGCGGCTCCTCCTCACTCCTCCACGTCCGGACTGTCCAGCAATCCCACAATACCCTGCGCCAGAAGGCCCCAGAAGCTTCTGGAGGCGGCAGAGCCGGGAAAGGAAGCGAACGGACCACTTCCGGAACTCTATGGTTTGTCCACCACCGAGTCTGCGGGCTAGAAGGGCCAGATAGGTTGCGGAAGACGCTCTACTTCCGGAAGCTAGGTTCCGGCTCTCGTTTTTGCTTGACTTTTGTTTGAGTTATTTAGCTGATCGCATCATCTATTCCACCTTCAATTCTCACATAAGGCCGAGGAGTGCAGTAAACTCATTCTTATTGAATGCTAACTGTGGGGAGGGCCTATGATAAATAAGCGTAACTACTGCTTTTATACTGAAATGTGCGGGGGTTGGTCAATCATAGGGTCGCACGATTTGATGGGTGGAGGAAGGAGTGGGTGAAGCAAATGATTCAGTGTGAAAAACAATGAACGCTGTAAATAAACAGAATAATAATAAAAGCTAAACAAACAAAAATTCTCATTGCTGTCGAATCTGAAAGACTAGTAAGTCCACACTCTGGCCTCTATGCGGCTCGCAGAGGTTGGTGCCCATAGTCACAGCTGCACGCCTTTAAGCGACGGAGTGGGAACTATCCCCAATATCCATTTTCTGGCTCTGCGTGGGCCAGAGCCTCACAACTGGGATCGATCAGGCTGGATTCTCAGCGCCCATAAATTGTCGAGCGCGAAAGTAACCGCACAAAACAGGCTGGCCCCGAACGCAGAGTCAAGAAAAATCGCCCAAATGGGCGCAAGACAAATTCCATATGGCAGGGCCGGGTGAGAGAAGGAAATCTTAAGTTGTGTGAGGCGGCGAGACCTGAAAGCAGGACGGTTAAAAAGGGGTTTCAAGAGCGGCAAGCCCCAGATCGCAGACTGCGCTGACCCGCCCACCAGCCCTGCTTTTCAATCCGCACTGTCCCGCCCACCAGCCTGAGCAGGAAAGGTAAGGCGGGGCTGAGGTGCGTGGCAGTTGCAGCTCCGAGTTTGAGCCTATCAGCCCTCGGCCCCACTTCCGATGACCAATGAGAAGTGGGCTAAGGCGCATAGACGGAAAGTGCGGTTACAAGAACATGCGTCAAAGCCAATCGGACGCGGGCTTTGTTCCCGCCGGCCAATGAGCGGCCAGAGCGGGTCTGTGGGCGGGAGGCCGGAGCAGCTGTCAGCCTGAAGTCCGGCGAGGGACGCGCCGCTGGGCGCCCGAAGGAAGAACGGAGCCGGGACGGCGCTGGAAATGGTCCTTGGGGCCGTCGGCTGGTGTTGTCTCGTGTTCTGGATCCCTGCGTGTATCGCGGTCCACGGTGAGCAACGGGCGGGACTCCGCTGCGGGGAAGGCCATCTCGCTTGTGCGCGTCTCGAGTTGGGGGTCCACAGGTCACCTTGGGGACCCCATGGATCCGGAGCAGGGCAGGTGCGAGGACAGGTAGTTGTGTGAGAGGGTGCTGGTTTTCGGAGACAGACGTCGGGCGTAGCCCGAGGCTCCAAATCCTCAACACCTCACCTTGAACCAGGTGTCTGAGGTTTGAGACCTGGATAGGGTACAGGGGACAACTGGAAACTGCTACAAGCTGGAGATGAGTATGTGCGCGCTCACCTACACATACAGGAGAGCACAGCCTTAAACCTTGGCTGATGTACATACATTTACAGTTATATGTGTACCTAGACACACAGAATCAGCCATGTGAATCTCCCGTTCTAAACATACAGATCCAAACATACCGTCAGCAGAAATTGACAGTATTGGGAGAAGGACAGTAGGCAATTAAGTGATCCAAGTGAGCTTTCAAATACTGAGAGGAATCCTTTAACGTTTACATTTTACTACTAGGTATTATAATGCTGAGTGACCCATGGATTTCCAAAAGAACAAACATGTCTAAGAGAAAGCACAGCCAGGATCCTTCTTGGATGCCTCATGTACTTTTGGCATGTTGTTAGGAGAGGCTATTCCTTGGAGAGGGATATCATGCTTGGAAAGGTGGAAGACCCTCGACTAGGTGGATTGACACATCAGCTGCAGCAATGGGCTCGAGTTAATCACACAGTAAGGATGGCACAGGAGAGGGTATAGATCAGGTCTATTGCTCATGGGGTTGCCATGAATTGTACTGAACTCCCCGGCACATAACAGCAACAGGTATTATAAGAGCTCTAGTGGGCTTAGTGGGTAAGAAGTTGCACTGTTAACTCAAAGGCAGGCAATTTGAGTCCACCAGCTGCTCTGGTGGGAGAAAGATGGGCAGTCTCTTCCTGTATGATGTACAGGCTCTAAAAGCCCACTGGAGGTGGGATCTGAGTCAGATCCGACCTGATGGCAATGAGCTGTTGAGCTGAAGTATTGTAAGTTAGCTAGAGGTGATGTAAAGTGTTTGGGAGGGTGTTCATAGGTTATATGCAAATACAACCCCATTTTACAAAGAGGACTAGAGTATCCAGATTTTTGTTTTGTACCTACAGGAACCAATCCTGGAATCTGTCCCCACAGGATATGAGGGAGCACAGACACAAAGTACATTTCATTTACAGATAAACAAATGCCAAGCCTAGTCAATGAGGTGAGGGGTTTGACGTTCATCAAGGAAGCCTTCGTGGGAGTGCAGCTGTACTTAACAGTCCTCACTGTCAATGAAATGCTCTCTGGTGGTGGGGATTTGGACAAGAGGCAGAGGCAGCTTATATCATAGTTATCCAAAACTTGGCCCACAGTAGTGGCCTGGTAATGTGTTGATTAATTGATCCATAGCGGTATTTTCACTCTTCAAAATCACTTTATTGCTTTTGGCTAAGGAAACCAGTGACTCAAGCTGAGGTAAAATATAACGTTTGAAACGAAGTTTCCACGCTTCGCAAAAATCTAGTCTGGAATTTCATCAGTGTATTGGAGCCAGGAAGAGTTGTTCTGCCTTTTACTCATTAGCCTCTATTTGGAGTGCCCTCTGGGATAGACAAGGGATGCAGCAAGAAATCAGAATCATGCTATAAATTTACAATCTTCATCTTGTTGTTGTTTTGTACCACCAAGTCAGAACCGACTGATAGCTGACTCTCCAGTGGGTTTTCAGAGGCAGTAAATCATACAGGAAGAGATTGCCCATTCTTCTGCAGAGCAGCTGGTAGATACAAACTGAGTTGGCAAAAATACAAATACTGTGTACTTACAAATGGTGTTGAAAAGATCAAGGGGTATAAAGAGCAATGGGAATGAATTTTGAACAGGTATAAAGGGAAGGCAGTCACAGAGCAGGAAGCTCCTCTGAGAAAGTGACATTTAAGCTGTTACCCAAAGGATGAGTGGGAGGGAGTTGGGTAAAGATATGGGCTGGGTGGGAGTAGGGAACACGCAAGAATAGAGTAAGGAGGAAGACCAGAAGTGAAAGCTTGGAGGAAGAAAAAGGAGGCCAGTGTCCCCTGCATATCTAAAGCCATCATTGCGATTGAGACGAAATGAAATCATGCTGAGCCCTCCTCACTGCATTTTGAGGCTGTAGGGAGGAGATTGCCCTTCCTTCTCTAGAGGCGAGACTGATGGATTTGAACCAGAGGACTCACTGCCTTTGTGTTAGCAGAGCAACTTCCTTTGGGCTAGGCTACCCGAGTTTCCTAGTCTTGAGTACGTTGTTGGGTTGTATGCTGTTGAGATGGATCTGACCCGTAGCTGATCCTTCAGTGGGTTTTCAGAGGCTGTAAACTGCACGGAAAGAGAATGCCTATCCTTCTCCCGTAGAGCAGGTGGTGGGTTCGAACCACATACCTTTGTCTTGGCAGAGCAATTCCTTACCATGAATCCATCAGAGCTCTCTAACTTGACTGCAGTAAGGAGGAAATGACATTGGAGCAGTGGCCAGGGAGCCCTGATCAAGCAGCATCTTCTAGCCTGTGGTTAAGATTTTAAGTGCCAAGGGGAGTCTTGGGGATGATAGAAAGTTTATCTGGTAGATGACAACTCTGGCTATTGGTAAAGACTGGACCTTAAACAAACAAAACCCTCCACCACGCTCACTGCTCTTGATTGAATTAGTTCTGATTCATGGTGACTTTATAGGGGCGGAGAACTGCCTTATAAGGTTTCCCATTAAGTCTTTATAGGAGCATAACATACTGCCACATCTTCCTCCCCTGGGGTGGCTAGTGGGTCTGAACCACCAGCCTTTTGGGTGGCAGCACAAATTAGACCCACTGCATCACCACGAACCTTTGAATGGACCTTAGGGAGTGAGAATGAAGGCAGAACAGTTAAACAGCTGGAACAGCCAGGGCACATCACCACTCTGAAAAAGGTGTGTGTGGATCTGGGGAGGGGGTGGCCAACATTAGCAGACAGCTAGAAATCCCCATCTCTATCACTTCTGCATTAACTCTCCTCCCCAGGGCAGAGATGAGCTATCTCACGCCCATGAGGGGGACCAGTTGACAGCACAGGATCCAGGGTCTGAACCTGAGCCAGCCAGTTTCCCAGAAGTCTCTCCTCTGACCCTTCTCTCCAGCAGGTTTGCGCATCCATGACTATCTCTACTTCCAAGTGCTGAGCCCAGGGGACATTGGCTACATCTTCACGGCCACACCTGCCAAGGACTTCGGGGGGATCTTTGTGAGTCTGGGGCCCCTTCCCTGGCCATCACCCAGCTTCGCTCTTAACCACAGAACCAGCATGCGAGTGCTGGGATAGGGAAGGGTTAAGATCCAGGGGTTCTCTCCAAGAGCTATACCCATGGGTTCAGTACAGACCTGGGTAACACAGAGGGTCAGGCTGTGATGACACAGACACCATGGGTGCCTGTTAGCTTCCTCTCCACTCTAGTTTGAACTGTATCATTTAAGCCATCTCTCCTCAGTCCACATCAATACTTCTTAGCTGGGGTAGGAAAGGAACTAGGCCTCTGTGTGAGAATGTTCCGGGCTCCCCCCAAACCCCATGGATCCTTCCCTTAGCGCAGAGGTGGGGATGGTGTCAGCCTCGACTCCACACTGCTTCTCTTCACTCTCACCACCTGCATGTCTTTTAGCACACACGGTATGAGCAGATCTACCTTGTCCCTGCCGAACCGCCAGAGGCCTGCGGGGAGCTCAGCAACGGTTTCTTCATCCAGGACCAAATCGCGCTGGTGGAGAGGGGGTAAGGGTTGGTAGGGGTGGGCCCTGTTCGGATGCCAGCAGCCACAGGGCTGACTTGAGGAAATGAACTGTCAGTGATACTTCAAAACCACCAACTTCACTGTTTGAAGGGTTTTGTGATTACCCATGCCTTTTGGCTGTTTAGGGAGCTCAGGTGACTTAGCAGTAAGGAGCTGTGCAGGTTCAAATCCACCGGCTGCTCCAAGGGACAGAGATGGGCAAACTCCTGTGCAATTTACAGCCTCTCAAAGTCTGCTGGAGGGCCAGTTCTGAGTCAATGAGTCTGTCTGTTGAGTGGCTTGTCTTCCTTCTATGTACTTGCAATGATAAATAATGCTCTGTGGTCCTTCCACACAAACAGGGGTACAGTCTGGAAAGGGGCAGCTTAGACCCTCTCCTCTGTTCTTTGGTCTCCCCACCACCTCTTTCAGGGGCTGTTCCTTCCTCTCCAAGACCCGGGTGGTACAGGAGCACGGTGGGCGGGCGGTGATCATCTCGGACGACGCGGTGGACAATGACAGCTTCTACGTGGAGATGATCCAGGACAGCACCCAGCGCACGGCCGACATCCCGGCCCTCTTCCTGCTTGGCCGAGATGGGTGAGCACCCCGGGGGCCACAAGTCCCTTCTCTCAGGCCTCATTTGGGGGGCCCCAGTTAGAGCACAAAGTTCTCCGGCTCTGGAGCTCCCAGAGCAACGGGGACAGCAGGGCGTGACAAGGGCCAGTGAGGTGACCGCGGCCACCTCTCTTCACGCCCCCCTCAGGTTCATGATCCGCCGCTCTCTGGAGCAGCATGGGCTGCCGTGGGCCGTCATCTCCATCCCCGTCAACGTCACCAGCATCCCGACCTTCGAGCTGCTGCAGCCACCCTGGACCTTCTGGTAGAAGAGCAGATTGCCAGCTGCTCTCACGACTCCAAGTTGGGGCGGGGAAAGTAGAGGGGGCTGCTGCTGTTTGGGAGTTGGAGAGCACGTCAGCAAAAGCCTGGGTACTGGCTTGGCTCAAGGAGGGAACCACACCGTGGACCTTCCCTGCCCAGGCCCCAAGGCTTCTGGTAGAAGGTTCTGGAACAAAAGGCAACCTGAGAACCACCGGGCGGGTCCACATGCCAGCTGGTACTAGCTCACGTACCCAGGGTCCTCTCACAGTGATGCCTGCAGCCCTTCTACCAGCAGTTGCTGGACTAGCCTGAGGACCTGGTATTGGGACTCTTTACTGACTTTAGCAATAAAGCTCCTCTTCAGGGTTGAACTGTCTTAAGGAGTGTGACAAGGGCCGCGCCTTCCAAGCTCTCTCGCTGTAACCTCACGGTGAAGGTGGAAACTAAGCCCCAGATCTGGTGACTCACCAGTCCTTCAGGACCAGCACCGCTGCCTCCTGTCATGTGCTGAGGAAAGCAGTGGTCAGCTGACTCGTCATGTAGCAAGAGTGGGCATCTATGCTGGGCTTCTGGCATGTTTCCATAGCAAAGCGTGAACCACCTGGACGTATGCCTGAACCCAGGCTTCCGTCTCCTACCGCTGCCTGATTGACTAGCCCTGTGCGTCTTCCTGTGACCGTCAGGCACCCCAGGTGGCCCACCACACTGTCCTCCACAAAGCACTGTTCAGAGGCCTGTTGCCACTTGTGTTTTATTGAGAACAGTGGGCAGGTGGGTGTGGGGAGCAGGGCCGGCTGCTGTGAAGGAGTGAGGCCCCAGCAGGTGAGAGGCCTGGCAACCAGCCCCACCTGGCCCCATAATGCAGGGGAGGCAGGCAGGAATCGGGGTGATGGGTGGTGATCAGCACACCCAGCGGAGGATGGGGTGGTGAGGAGTCGGAAGTGAGGAGGGGCCCACGGTCTGAGCTGAGTGTGTGGCAGAGTATCTCCTGGAGGTGCTTCCTGGAGGACTGCAGGGCCCCTCAGTGACCCCAGCAAGACTGGAGCATCCCAACATCAGGGAGCACAGGCCTGTCACCCCTCAGTTCTGCCACGCTGCTGGAGTCCTCAGCAAGAAGGAAGTGTGAGGACGGGGTGATGGACTCACACACCCCACGTGAGGAAGGCCAGGCCTCTGTTACCCATGGGGCCAGCCTGGTGCCGAGGCCTGAGAACAAGGCACGAGGGACAGTCTGGCCTCTGGGGAAGGGCTGTCATGTGCTCCCAGATGTGCACTGGCCAGAGTGAGGCAGAGGGCAGCAACCCTGGTCGGGTGTCCCTGACAGAGCACAGGGAGGGTGGCCAGGGCCTGCTCCAACAGTGGCCTTCTCAGTTACAGAGCAGGCAGGTGGCCCCCAGGGACAAGGGGAGGGAAGTATGCCCTCTTCCTTTCTGCGTTACAGAAATCAGGCTGCTCTCAGAACTGCTGTTACTCTTAGTCACTGTCCAAAGAAATACTGTCAAGCTCTGGCCCAGATTCAGCCCTCCACACCCTGCAGCGAAGGGCCCAGGGAGGCCAATTCTCGGCCCCTCACACCCTGCAGCGAAGGGCCCAGGGAGGCCAGTTCTCGGCCCCTCACACCCTGCAGCGAAAGGCCCAGGGAGGCCAGTTCTCGGCCCCTCACACCCTGCAGCGAAGGGCCCAGGGAGCCCGGGTGGGAAGGGGTCAGTGACGCTCAGCAGCAATGTTCAGGACGTGAGTCTTCTAGAGACAAGCCTGGGGTCCCCCTCCGTCCGACCCTGTAGCCGGGACAGCACTGGACAGAGGCCCCCTCCGCTCTCTGGCAGGCCGGGTCTAGACGGGCCCCTCTAGGCAGGGCCACCTCACACATCTGTCATCTCATCCCCCAGTTCTGCATCTTCCTGCTCTCCTTCCTCCTCCTCCTCATCTTCCTCCTCCTCTGAGGTCACATTGGGGTCATCTGCTTCCAACAGGCATTTGGGGCAGGAGCAGACAAACAAGTAGTTCTCCCTGCAGGGACAAGGGGGACAGTCAGGCAGCCGTGGGGAGGACGAGGCCTGGCCCGGCCCCACCCTGCACACCCCCAGCGGCACCTGAGGATCTTGTGGCGGCTGTGACGGCTTCGCTCCCGCTGGCAGCAGTCCAAGTAGCTGATGCAGATTTCCTGCAAAGGAGAGGGGTCTGATGGGCAGGGCCCTTCCCCACCACTCCCCTGTCTCAGGGAGCCAGGCCCCAGCTGCCCTGACCCACACCCTGGCCCTTCAGCAAGCAGGCCCCCATGAAACTCCAGTACGTGTGTCTGAGACAGCGGGGGTTGGCCTGGCCTTAGGACACCGTTAAAACCAGTCACCAGCCACACGATCTGTGACCAGGGAAGAAGATCCAACCAGGCTCTGCGCGCTCTGCCAGCAGCCATGACCCCTAGACCTGAGGCGGCCTGCATGGCCAGGGCCATGCCCTCCTGGGTTCTTGGAGATGGCACGCTGATAAAGAGGTGACTGGGAGCAAGAATGTACGTGAGGCTGCCCTTCAAATGCTGCTCTGGAGGTGTGTTTTTTTGGAGGAGGTAGGGCAGGGGGAGAATACCTCCAGGGTTGTCTGTGGGAACCCCACCCTGCAGCCTGTTTTGGGGGCTCTAGTTGCTGTGCCCACTGCCCACCTTCCAAACTCCCAGACCCTCACCTCTCCCGGTTTGATATCCTCCAGGGCAGTGACATGCAGAAGGAAGTTGTTCTCCGGGAAGGATGTCTCTGCGTTGGGAACACAGCTGTGGTTGCCTAGGGATGAGAGGCAGCAGGTGATCAGTACTAATGCGTATTAACAGCCCCAGTGGCCCCGCGGCTGGTATTTTCTGACCCTTCCCCAAGGTCATTCTCTCCATGGGCACAAACACACTTCATACCACACCCCTTCCCCAGGAGCCAGCGTCACTGTGGGCTCCCAGGGTCTTGCAAAGGGCCAGGAGCCTCACTAAGAGCTGAGCCACGTCCCCTCAAAGCCCAGTGCAGGAGTGGATCGAGCAGGCTGGAATAGAGTCTGCAGAGACGGGCAGGTTGGAAGGTGAGAGCTGGAAAAGGCCGCCATCCAAACTGGCCCTGCCCCTCACCAGGATTCCGAGGGGCCCCAGCTTCCCCAACTCTGCAGAATTTCCCAGGACAGTGATGGCCCGAAGCCAGCGCTCATGTCCTGCTTCTGGTCAGCCACCATGTGGCCCGGCTATTATGACAACACTACATGTGGCCTCGTATAACGTAAGGTGTATGAATAGATATTAAAGGACGAGCAGACAGTGAATGAATAAACGAAAACACAGCGCAAAACCCACCCCAGGGTATCCTCACCAGGGCAAGCCCTACCCTATTCCCAGACCGGAGGCAGTGAAGACGCTAACTCTGGCTCTGAGGCCGTGTGGCAAAGGCAGGAATGTCCTGAAGATGCAAACCCTCACCCACCCCCAGTGTCAGGACTCACAGCAGCTCTGAAGCACAAAGAGGCCGGACCCCTCACAGTTCAGAAACTCGCCAGTGGCTGAAAGACAGTGGTTTTGGGGTGTTAACTCTACCATCTCGGGTAACAACGATGAAACCTCACCATTCTCGCTTCCAAGAGGCACCCTGGTTGCACTTTCTCCCAGACACTCTTGTTTATTCTCTTGGCAGTGCAGGGGACCCTCGGCATTCTTCTCCAGGCCTCCCGCGGGGCTGCCAGGGAGGGGGCAGCAGCGGGCTCCACTTACCAGCGGCCCCATCACTGTTGCACTGCTCTCCATTTTACCCAAACCCAGCTGCTCTGTAACCAACATGGCCTGTGTGCTGGGCACCTGCTGACCCTCTGCCTGGATCTTGGGTTGTGTGCACACATTGTGTGGACAGGCCTGAGGCTCACCACAAGCACCCGGGGTGCCCTGTCCCCCACTGCTAACTTAAGGCTCTGGGAGGGAGGGCTGAGTGCTCACCACCTGGCTGGGTCTTCAGAGCGGTGAGGCCAAGGCCTCAACTCACACACCTGCCTCAATGTCCTTGTACAGCTGGTCAATGAAGGCATCCAGCTGCTCCCGGTCCAGAGGCTTCAGCTCCAGGGCGTCACAGGCGTGGACCCACTGGCTCAGGGAGCTGAGCGCAGGCAGCCAGGGTTAGGGAGGGAGCCCAGGACCAGGGTGCCCCATCCACACTCCTTACTCTTCCCCACCCAGGGCTTGGACCACCTCACTCTAATGAGATGAGAACTTGCCCTTCGGCCCGATACACAGGGCCAAACCTGGGGCTCCAAGGGTAGCATCAAACACCCCGTTCTCTTGACTCCCTTCCTCGTGCTGTGCCAGTCACACCCATCTCCTCATTCTGTCTCCCCCTTGAGCCCTGAGGGTTAAGTCCCATCACCCCAGAAGAATCTCTCAGACCTGGTCCCAATTCCTTGGCCATTGGTCCCAACAAGGGCAAAAAGAGAGCGGAACCCATCTGGGGTGAACCACTGCAAAGAGAAAGGGGAGATGACTACGCCTCTCGTCTTCTGTGAGGGCCTACCGGACCCTTCAGATGTGGCCCAGCAGCCCCTGCGGGGAGGCCGAGCGCATCTTCCTGGGAGCTGGAGTGACCACTTACCTGGCCGAGCGCTTCCTCATACAAGGCCTCAGTGAACAGTCTCCGCAGAAGCTCCAGCTGGCCCTAGATTAGTGGAAGGGAAAAGAGATTTGCATCCTGGGCCCCCATAGGGCCCCCAAGGCCAGGTGACAGGCGAGGGGAAAGGGCCAGCTCTGCAGACTGAGCTTGCCCCGGGGCATAGGCAGCCTGCTCCGACTTGGACGCCGTCCTCATTGTCAGCATGTCAGGCAGTAGTTCTACGCTTGTCCTCACCCCAATCCCGGGACTCCTGACCTGGCCTCCAGATGCTAGGCTCCAGACGTGGGGCCCTGTGCCTTTTCAACCCTGAGTTGGGGTCTCCTTGTTTCACAAGACCCTCGGGAGAGTGTAGCAGAGCCCTGAATGAGCCTACTGTGTCCGTGTGAATCACCGGGGGAGCCTGAAATGTAGTTTCTGAGCCAGTGGAGGGTCCTTGCAATCCTGTCACACGCAGCCAGCACCTTGGGCAGCATCTGCACACGAGCTGGTGTCCACAGCAAGAATCTGTCACTCTTAGACTGCAAGTGGACACTCTACAAACATGGAGCTAATTTCCCTGACTATGTAAACCTGCCTTCAATTCTCTGCGGTGTGTATGCGACTCAGGTACTGTTCACTCTCCAGCACGTTTCCAAGGGTGTAAATCGCAGGAGAGGAGACTGTTCATCTTTCTCCTGTGGAGCTGCTGGTGGAGTCACCTGAGAGGTGCGGCCTTTGGGTTAGTAGGGTATCTCCCTAGGACTGTACCCCCAGACCACCTTCTTCCCCATCCTATCGTCAGGGAGCTCTGATGCCTGGGGGGGTACAGAGCCACACTGCCAACGTGTTTCTGTGTTCCTGTTACCACCTATCTCCCACTACCAGGGCCATCGCAGATGATGAGGTTAAACAGTAACAGGAACACACATTCTTTCTTCTGAACTTTAGACCCACGCTCTCGTATTTCCTGTGGTTGGGAACAGACATGGACAGCCCCCTCAGGCTGGTAGTGGGGTCATGGAAGACACTCAACCTTGAACTTGTCCCCCAGGAGTTTGTGGACGATTTCCTCTTCCTCGTTGGCTGTTTTGTTACAGAAGTGGGAGAAGAGCCTGATCCAGCGATCCTTATCTTTAGCCTGCAGTGAACAGACACCCGAGAGGGGACACTCAGTTGTGCACGCGTGTACCCATCCGCTCCTGAGACGTCCTCCCTGAGATGTGTGAGGGCCGGGCCAGGACGCTCACGCTCCTGCCACATGGGAGCCAGCACCAAGCATGAGCCTCTGGGCAGAGCCCTTCCTCAGCTGAGACCTGTCCTCACTGTGCCCACTCCAGCCACCTCCCCAACAGCAGCCACGTAATCGGTTCATCCACAGGAGGGAAGAAGGCTGAGGGACTGCACTATCGACAGAAGGGGCCCGACAGTGCCTGGTCTCATGTCACATGCGAGATACGATCCTGTAAAAAGTGGTACCTACAGGTCAAAAGCATAAATGGCTACTGTTAAAGTTCTCCCAGAGGCCTTACAGTCCCCCACTCTCACACCCCTCGTCTGCAGTTAACACACCTACGAGGTCTGAAGCAGCAAGCAACTCCGTCTTAGGAAGCCAGAGAGAACTCCCTCCAAGCCAGGTCCATGTGGACCTCAATGGGCAGGGGGGGGGCCAGTGTTAGCCACCCAGGAGGGTCACGTGGGCTCACCTGCTTCACTGTGGCCACCATCCGGGCCATGAGCATGATGCTTGCGGTCTCAGGGGGATAGTGGACACTCCTAGGGGAGAAGAGAAAAAGTTTGGCCGAGAAATCCCCTCCACAGTAGCTGAGCTCAGGGATGCCCAGTGTGACTGCTCCAGGGAGCCTGACCACCAATTCCAGCTACAACCAGAAAGAGACATGGGGACTCACATCCCATGAACACAGTAAGACCTTCGTTGAAGTAGGTAAGATGCTGAGGACTGGGGGCTGGCAGCTTAGAGTAAAGGCAGAGGACTGGGTACACTCCGGTTAACGCTAAGAACAACAACTGTCACCAATGATTTGCGTGGAGGTGGCGACTCAGAGGCTCTGAAGACTCAGCTCCCCCTAGCCCACCGCCATGGCCATGGGTACTGGAGGTGTTAATGCCATGGAGTCAGAATCAACTCAGAGTTGACCGTCCAGCCAGTTTTCAGAGGTTCTACATCCTGTAAGCAGAGACTGTCCGTCTTTCTTCCCAGGAGCAGCTGGTGGACTTGAAGCACTTGCCTCTGGGTTGGCAGCAACTCCTTACCCACAAGACCAGCAGAGTAATGGATGCTATCACTGTATAAGAGGTGCTAACGATGGCCCTCACCACTGACGGGCTAGCATGTGGAAACGAAGAGGCTGCCAAAGCCTCAGACGAGCATCAAGTGCATCACATGCGCTTACGTTCAGCGTGATGAGCCCATGCGTGAGTCAGCACACAGGGGTCTTCTGCGCTAGACACTTAGCAGCCCGATCAAGGCTCTGACAACCTCGGGGAGGGGGTGGGTCTGTGCTGGACACCTGGAGGCCTGATCAAGGCTCTGACAACCTCGGGGAGGGGGTGGGTCTGCGCTGGACACCTGACGGCCTGATCAAGACTGGTGACAACTTTGGGGAGGGGGTGGGTCTGCGCTGGACACCTGGAGGCCTGATCAAGGCTGTGCCAACCTCGGGGAGGGGGTGGGTCTGCGCTGGACACCTGACGGCCTGATCAAGACTGGTGACAACTTTGGGGAGGGGGTGGGTCTGTGCCCGATCAAGGCTTTGACAACCTCGGGTAGGGAGTCGGTCTGCACAGGACACCTGGAGGCCCGATCAAGGCTCTGACAACCTCGGGGAGGGGGTGGGTCAGCACTGGACACCTGGAGGCCCGATCAAGGCTGTGACAACCCGGGGAGGAGGTGGGCCTCTGCAGAGTTGACAGAGGACGAACCCTGAGAGTGGGGGCTGAGTTGTGTGGTCATTAAGGGCTACAGCAAAGGAACTCAGGCTAAAGATGTCATTGAGAGGCGTTTAAATGCAAGAAACAAAACAAAGAATGGAGGAAAAGAGGAGCAGGCTTTTTCTCAAGGCAGACAGCTGAGGAACTGAGGCAAGCGGGGAGGGGGCCGAGGAGGGCAGGAACACGGCTCACCTCCACGCCTCCTGCAGCTTATTCAGCGGATGCAGAGGGTCGTCCTGGGAGGGCCCCGTGCACAGGACCCGGTGGTACTGCTCTGCGGCGGCCTGCTGACACTCAGCACTGCAGTACATCACCTGTAAGGTGGAGACGGTCAGCGTTCCAGAGCCGGGGCTCAGATCTCCTCGTGTCCCCCTCCGGAAGCATCCCTTCCACGAGCAGACTCAGGCATTGTGAGGCAGGAACTGTGGGGCTGGGAGTGGGTACCTAACCCAGGCTCACAAGACCATAGGAAGAGAACATTCTGGAAAGCGCGGGGAGACTTCTCCCAGGCAGAGGGGTGAGGGCTGGAGGAGAAAGACCCGAGATTGCAGCAGGGAGGATGGGATAGAGCCTTTCGCATCCTGCCCACTGCAGTGACCCCAGGGCGGGGACCAGTTTGCCCTTTCATCCTCTCTCCAGTCACTCACCTGGCACTGTGGGCAGCTCTGGTGGAGGCCCTTCTGCACGGTGCACAGCTCCGGGTACGGCAAAACCTGCCCGGGTTTCCCCGTCAGCCTCTGTGCGTTCTCCTCCGCCTTCTCCAGTGCCCGAAGACAGTGGTCACAGGCTATGGGGACAGGCAAGACCAGGTAACAACCCCAAAGAATGAGGCCGGGTGGCACCCCCATATCCTTGACACACAGCTCCTCAACCACAGCTTGGGAAGTGAGTGAACAACTAGAACAACAAATCAGTGGACCGCACGGGGCCCTCAGGAGACTGCCGTCCGAGTCCCTGCTGATCATGGGGGCTCAGTTTGGAGGCGCTCTGTACCCCAGCCTGCATCTTCTCCATGCTCCAGGGCCAGCGGGCTCGAGGCAAAGAAAAGTGTAGAAGAATGCAGCCAGCAGAGCCTGGAACCCGTATGGGTGGCCTCCTCTTGGTGGGGCTCCACGTGGACGCAGAGGCCTTCCCTGACACGGTGGATGGTGCTGGTGGGGAACGAGGGACACAGGACGGGGGTGGGGGTGGACAGCCCCTGATAGGCTCACCGCCCCAGAAGCCCCAGCTGGACAGAGCCATGGTTCGAAGGCATGTTCCTCCCACAGGAGACAGGCTATTCCTCAAAACCCTTCAAGTCCCAGGAGCCTCAGTCCGGGGTCCTGTAAGCACCCCTCTTCTGGGCACACAGGGGACTGTGTCAGCAGGTACAAGACGGGGCGAGGGGTCAGCGAGGATTCTGCTCACCTCGGTAGCGATAGAGTGCATTCCAGAGAAACTGCGCTGCCACCAAGGGCCGCTCCACGAAGATGGTCTCTCCCTTCCTGATCAGCTGTTTGGCAAACAGCCCCTTGCCCTAGGGTGGAGAGGGGACAGGACGGAGAGCATGGTTCCTGGACGCTAGAGTGCCACCTCTCAGCAGAGCCCACCACCTCCACAAGTCAGTCACCCCCACCGGCGCCTGCTCCGGTCAACCCGCTCGAAGGCCACTGAGAACACAGGGCCTGGGGCTGGGATGCCATCTCCATAGCAGCAAGCTCGGAATTTATCTCGTTAGATGTGGAGAACAGTGAGGGCTGAACCAGAGCTCCAGGCAGGTGGGTCTCCTGACAGCAATGTGGCCCTGGGAGCAGGAGGATGATGTAGAAGAGAGGGCACTACTTTCCTGGTCAGCAGGGTGCCTGCAGCCCCAGGCACAGCACTCAGCTGTTACACTGAATGAGCCAGTCCAGGCACCATGATGTCACTTTACTAGGCAACTGCCTCACTTCTCTGCATTTCCCACAAGAAGACTGAGTATTATGCCACCAGCCAGGGAGTCTCCAGGTCGCAATGACAAGGCACTGCTGAATGTATCTCTTAAAACCTAGCTCTTTGCTATTCACAGTAAGGTCTGGGGACTGACAACACCCCTATCACTGGGGAGGCAGAAATGCAGAGCCCAACCACAGACCTGCTGAGCAGGTACCTGGGTGATTCACATGCTTGTTAGAAGTCTGAGAAGCGCACGTAAAGCATTAGTGGCCTAGTGGTAAGGAGTTGGGCTGACAACCAATGATACACGGTTCATATCCACCAGCTGCTCTGTGGGAGAGGGATGCCAATCACTTCTGTGCCATTTACTGCCTCTGAAAACCTGCTGGTGGGTCAGCTATGGACCAGTTCTGACTCAATGGTATACAACAACATAACGTAAGGACGAAAGATGAGAAAATCATCTCCAAATTGTTATTCCTCAAATGTGCACAGGAATTCAAGGGACGACTGTAGCATCCAGGCTGTGGGCTCAGAAGGTATTAAGACCCACATTCACACAGAGGATAGGGTGGTCCCCTGGCCAGCAAAGAGAGGAAAGGAAACGGATGGTAGTGAAACGTTCTGTGGCCCTGTGGCCTCCTGGCCCAGCTTCCTACAGCACTGGCACATGGGCCAGACAGGCTGCCTCTAAAACTCAGAACATCGGAGATGTGCAGGCTGGATGGGTCCTGAGCAACTGTGACCCACAAATCTTAATCCTGCAAACAGCTCTGAAGTTTCCCCAGCAGGAGATGGGGCAGGGAGGAGAGGCAAAACCAGGGGCCAAGTCGTGAACACACCCCAGATTGTCTTCTAGAATCTTCAATGTTCAGGCTTCTACTCTAACTGGTTGTGTCTCTGGTATAACAGTATATTTGTGAAAATCATTGCTCCAGTGTTCACTGAGGCAACAGAGGTTGTGATAAAAAAGTACCCTCGTGGGAGGCCCCAAGATTATGATTTCATTACCTAGTGCTAGAGAAGAGTATTGAGGGTACCATGGACTGCTAGGAAAACAAACAGATCCATCCTGGAAAGGGTCCAACCAAGCGGCTCCTTGGAGGCAAGGATTCTGAGGCTCCATCTAACAACATACTTTTATTTTTTTTCAGTTGCAGCTTAGTCTTTATTTATTTTTCTTTGTAGTCTTTGGGGTTTTTTAAATTTTATTAATTTTAATGAACATTTACAGAGATTTTGGGTTTCCATTCATTCATTGTTGCACTACTTTCTCTACCCTCCCCCCATATTTTGGACATGTTGGAAGGAGGGACCGGTCCTTGGAGAGGGACATCATGCTTGGTAGGGTGGAGGGACAGTGCAGGAGGGAAAGGCCCTCTATGAGGTGGATTGATTCAGTGACTGGGATAATTAGGATGAGAGTGTCAGAGACAGTGCGATTGGCACAGGACAGAGCGGAGTTTAGGGCTGTTGTACATAGGGTCGCTAGGAGCGCAAGGGACTCGACGGCACATAACAAAAACAACAACAGTGTGTTCAAATCTCCAGAGTAATTCCATGTTATTTAAACTTCTCAGAAATGGGGGAGGGTGGATAAAGCTTTTCCATTTTATCAGATCAATCAGAAGAGAGAAAAAAAAACCTGAGGAAGAAAACCTGTGCAATGAATTGTAATGAGGAAAAAAACCTGTGCAATGAATTGCATCCCCCAAATCATGTGCTGTAAAGATGTAAAAAAAGGCCAGAATAATCTATCTTGTAAGTATGTCTGTCAGGACAGCTTTTGTCGTTGGATTGACTACAACGCATAGTGACCCTGTGAACAACAGATCTGAACCCTGTCTTATCCTGTGCCATCTTCATCATCTCTAATATACTTGAGCCCTCTGTTGCAGTCACTGCCAATCTATCTTGCTGAGGCTCTCTCTCGCTGAGAAAGAGTGGGTATGTCAGGGTGGATATGTGAGCTTTTACCAACAGCACATGAGGGGCGGCACACAGAGAGAAGACCCAGGTCACCGTGTCCCAGTCCCAAAGCTAGAAGAATAACAGGGGAGGATGCTGTTAGGTGACATCGGTCAAGTGTGACTCATTGCGACCCTATGAATGAACAGCAGACCTGAACCCTGACCTATCCTGCACCGTCCTCATCATCTCCGACACACTCGAGCCCACTGCTGCAGTCACTGTGTCAGTCCACTGCACTGTCTTCCTCTCTTGTGCTGACCCGCCATCTCTCCAAGCATGATGTCCCTTTCCAAGGAATAACTTTTCCTAGCAAGAGTACAGAAGCTGAAGTGACAAAGAGATGAGGAGACAGGATGTTGTGGAGTTGATCTATATAAAAAGGAATGCTCCAGAAGCTTCTGGAAAGGAAAAGTGAACTGGAGAATTGTATTGGTATGAAGATGATGAGATGGGAACAGAACAACTAGATAAGGACCATCTCGGGAAAGGTCCAAAGATGCATACAACCACTCTACATGTTAAATTATTCAATCTCACTGTTGTGCAATGAATTGCATCCCCCAAATCACGTGCTGTAAATCTTAACTTCTTGGTCAGTGGTGATGATCCCATTTGGAGTAGGCTGTCATGTTAGTGAGGCAAGATTAGTGTAGCTGTGTCTTAAGACAATTTCTTTAGAGATAGAAAAGATTCAACAAGCCAGCAGAGAGATGCTACGTTACATGAACATCTCTAAGGAAGCAGAAGCTGAAGAGAAAAGGCCCTTCCTTGCAGAATAGAGAGAACAACGGTACCCTCGGGCCAGGTGAATTCACTCAGACTTCTAGCCTCAAACACTGTGAGAAAATAAATGTTTGTTAAAGCCACCTGCTGGTGGTATTGTTGTTAGGTGCCATGGCACCTGAACCAACTAATAACTGACACTCTAGCGGATTTTCAGAAGCTGTAAATGATATGGGAGGAAACTGCCCCTCTTTCTCCTGTGGAGAACCTAGTGGATTTGAACTGGTTTTCTCTGGATCAGCAGCATAGCTTCTCACTCACATAACCACCCGAGCTAACTATGGCACTCGTTGTTATGTTGTTAAGTGCCGTCGAGTCGCTTGCAACTCATAGCGACCCTATGTACAACAGCCCTAAACCCTGCTCTGTCCTGTGCCAATCGCACTGTCTCTGACACTCCCATCCCAATTATCCCAGTCACTGAATCAATCCACCTCATAGAGGGTCTTCCCCTCCTGCGCTGTCCCTCCACCCTCCCAAGCATGATGTCACTCTCCAAGGACCTGTCTCTCCTCACAACATGTCCAAAGTATGTTAGACGGAGCCTCAGAATCCTTGCCTCCAAGGAGCCACCCGGTTTAACCCTTTCCAGGACAAATCTGTTTGTTTTCCTAGCAGTCCATGGCACCCTCAATACTCTTCTCCAGCACCACAGCTCAAAGGCATCAATTCTCCTTCTATCCTCTTTGGTCATTGTCCAACTCTCTGATGCATAACAAGTGATTGCAAAGACCATGGCCTGTATCAGACGCACCTTAGTCTCCAGAGAGACACCATTGCTCTTCAGTACTTTGGCGAGGTCCCGAACAGCAGACTTTCCCATGGCAATGCGTCTTTTAATTTCCTGGCTGTTGGTGCCAAGACTGTTGACTGTGGAGCCAAGCTATAGGTTTCCGTAGTGTAGTGGCACTCATTTACCAACAAAATATTTGCAATGGAAACAGAGGTATGGCATTTTATGCCATCAATTAGCAAAGAGAATTTAGGTAAGAAAGTACATTCACAAATAAAGAGGTTGGCTGGATGAACTCTGGTCCTGGCAAAGAATCCAGTTCTTAAAAATCCACACACAGAAAAAAGTCCACTGCCAGAGGCGAAAAAGGCGCTGGCTGGAATCCACCAGCTGCTCCAGCTGAGCAATTTCCTCCCATGGGATTCACAGCCTCTGAAAACTAGCTGGAGGGTCGGCTGTAAGCCGGTTCCAAGGCCACTACAGCAATGACTTTGACCATGTGGGCTTTTGGCAATTCCCTAGTCCAGTTTAACTGCTCTCACACCCCATAGGGTCCAACAAGGATTTACTCCCTAGGGAAGCCGAATGGCACGTTTTCCGCAGGTCTGAACCACAAAGGTGTGTGATTAGCAGGCAAGCCCTTTAGCAGCTGCCACCAGAGCTTTTTCATAAAAAGCCGCTTCTAGGCGAGCTCTGGTGGCCGAGTGGCAGGAAACTGCACTGCAATCCCAGAGGTGCGCGGTTCAAATCCACCAGATGCTCTGCTGAAGACGGAGGAACAATCGCCTCCTGTACCAGTCAGATCCAATTTGACGGTACACACATTAAATAATAAAATAGGGGGGCTCTGGGGGCCTAGTGGCAAGAAGTTGCATTGCAAAAACAGACGCGCACTGCTCGAATCCACCCGCCACCCTGCTGAAGACGGAGGAACAATCGCCTCCTGTACCAGTCAGATCCAATTTGACGGTACACACATAAAAAAAAAAAAAAAAAAAAAAAAAAGCAGCTTCTAAAAATATAATCTGACCATAGAGAGCACTGGTGGCCCTGTGATAAGAAGATGCGATGCAAACGGAAAAACTTAAGGTTCGAATTCATTAGCTGCCCAAAGACGGGCAATTGCCTCCCCTGTGACTTATTGCTTCTGAAAACGTGCTAGATGGTCAGTGATGAGCCAGTTCTGACTCGACAGTAGTAACAACAACAGAGACAGAAATGTGAAGGGAAAAAGAAAATGTCTTAGTGTTTGGATTGTGAGTGATTTAACGTTTTAAGAATTTTTATTTTACATTGGTTTGCTTACAAAGTTCATACACATTGCTTCCCACTATCCTTCGTTCCCATGGGGTTTCCAGCAACCACTGTTAATTATCACTGAACTATGCTCACCATTGCCCTGTCTTTCCAGATTCCCACCGGATTTTCTTTTCCTTCATCCACCAAATTGTGGCACCCTAAGATTTCCCCCTGCCTATCCTCACTCCTGTGCTCCCACCTTCCCCCGGTTTATCTTTTTTAAAGCGAGCTCTTCGGTTTATCGTGAGCCTTCAGAGCACGGTGCCGAAAGCGGGCGCAGACCGTGACACTCGGGTCCCCGCGAATCTGATCGTGTCCTCGGCTTCACCCCGCGCACAGACTCCCAGGGTCCACTCAGGGCCCCGGACAGTGTTCCTGGTCCTTCCCGCCCCGACAGCAGAGCCGCCGGGGGCGCGCGAGGACGCTCGGGGGGCCCTGTCCGCCGCGTGACCGCGCCCCGAGCCCGCGCGTGGGGACAGCAGGACCGGCCGCGCGCGAGCACGAGCCGGACCGCGGCATCCGACCGGCAATGGGGGTGTTTAGGGGCCCTCGGGGAGGATGTATCCAAGGCCACACTCGGCAGCGGGTCCCAGCGGGGGCCCCTCGCGCTCTCACCTTGGAGCTGCTCACGAAGCGGACCTCCACGGCGCCCCGGGCCCGGCCCGCCACGCCCACGCAGAACGAGAACACGTCGCACATGGAGGCCGCCATCTTGGCGGCGCCGGTACCTCCGCCTCCTGACCCTCGACCCCGCGTCGACCCGGAAGCCCCGCCCCTGGATGGGCCGCCCCGTTAGCCCCACCCCTTCCTGCTTCGCCTTTTTGCATTTCTGTTGCTCTGTATCCAGAGATCTTCAGAATGTGTCTAAATCAGTCGATCCGTTGTATAGTCGATGGCTGATCAGACAAGCCTTTGTGCTTTTATCCGTACAGGTTTGTGTCCATCTGCTTGGCTGCTGTGTACCTCGGTAGCCGAGATGATGTACCCCTTATCGTTGAACCTTTTTTTTTTTAATTTAGTTTATTTTTCATTTCAATGAACATCTACAGAGATTTTGGAATTCCATTCATTCATGATTGCACCCTTCTCCCCGCACAAACCCCTCCCCCCTCCCCCCCTTTTAATTTCGGCAGACAGTCCTCTGATCTTTTGTTGCTCAGACTCATGGTCAGCGTGGGCGTGCTGGAGGATGGAGAGATCTGAAATTGTGTGTTGATGGTGCACGCTCCTGAGAAGCCCCAAAACGCTGCAGGCCCCGGATGGGATAGGTGGCACCTGTGCCCATACCCTGGCCTGGCTTGACAATGCTTTCCAGTTGTACTTCTTGTTCCCCAGCTGAGTCAATGGTTCTTAAGCCCCCAGTGTCAGCATTTGCTTTGGAGATATTATTAAGGGACTGGGTGAACCCAGTAACTACTGAATAGGAAACTAATTTTTAAAAAGGAAAATGCTGAAGCAGTCGTTCCTGGGGATGGTGGATGCAGTTCCTGGGACAGGTGGATGAGTTGACTTCAGTCCAGCTCAAGAGGTGTTATGTATTGAATTGGTGAGGAAACTAATCCGCAGCCCACCCTCCACACCCGGTGGTCTGACAAAACAAATAGCTATGGGAAGATCAAGGATGGAATGCAAACACTCACTCCCTAATCTCATCACAACCCTAACTGGATGCAGGGGTGTTCCCCTAGGGTGTGATCTGCAAAGCTTTTTATCTCACTAGAGATAACAATAAGGGAAAGCTAGCAGAGAGACCACCAAGAAATCATCATCCAAGGTCTGGACCCTGTTCCCTGAATACTGGAAAAGGCGGGACAGGTGGAGGTCTAGTGAAGGAAACAAGGTCTTTCCTCCACAACCAACAGAGTCTTTCCCAGAACTCTGAACTTGGCCTCCTAGCCTCCCAAACTGTAAGAGAGTACAATTCTGTTTGTTAAAGCCATCCATTTGTGGTTTGAATCCACCAGCGGTTACTGTGGGGGGAAAAGATACGCAGTCTCCTTCCATGGGATTTACAGCCTCTGAAAGCCTGCTGGAGGGTCAGCAAGGAGTTAAATTTGAGGAGCTCTGGTGGTTTAGTGGGTAGAGTTACACTGAGAACCCAAACGAGTTGATTCCAATGTACCAGCTTCTCAATCTCCTCTCGTGATTTACAGCGACTGAAACCCCTGTGGAGGGTCAGCTGTCAGCCGATTCCCACTTCATGCACATAACAACACTTGTATCTATCTCTTGTTTGGCAGCACTAGATAACTGAGACAAGGACATAGAAGTGTTCTTGAAGCTGGATGCTGCCCTTCCCTCTTGTTTCTCACCTAGTGTCCACTGTCTTAGGGGTAGATGGTACTTGAAAAGGTCACCTCTGCTCCTTTCCTTAAACAGCTGCAGAGACCAACTGGGATAAGTGCCTTCTCATACCACTAGGTGGCAGGACAGGCCACACGTGCCTTCTCAGGCCACTGCCTCACATTTCCTATGCCCAGTCAGTACTCCAGCAGGGACTGCCTCAGAAAGGTGGGTGGAAATGCTGGCGACAGGCCAAAGGGACAGCCATCAGCCAGGCTTCTTAGGGGAAAAGTGTGAGTGCATTCCTTGGAAGGAATGAAAAAAAAAAAAAACCAAAAAAAAACCCAACCCCAACAAAACAACCCCAAAACCAAACTAAAAATGCTCATTGACATCAAGTCAGAACTGGCTCAGAGCTGACAGAAGCTCTAAAGGTCACAAAATGAGATTTCCCATCTTTCCATGGGTGAAGTGGACTCAAACCACCAGAGACCCCCATGACTTTGGGTTGGCAGCAAAACCCTCCAGACTGGACCTTTCACAAGGGTTGTGAAAATACAGCGGAGTTTATGATAAAATGCTACCTTGGTGAAAGAGTCAAATTTCTCTATTCCACGTAAAGATGGGGAAGGCAGAGAGTGAGGAGGACAGGACTAAAGGGTCATTACTGCCTCCTCCTTGCTCTTGAGAGTTTGTCTGGAGGTTCGTGCAGGGGAGCGCATCTACATGGATACCCTTGACCAAAGGATGGTCCTTCTTTAGGGAAGGTCATCCTGCAAAGCACTCAGCTTTGGGAGGGACTCACATGGAACAGTGAGGGAGGAAGGGGACACCCGCCCACCCGGTCAGATCAGCCACCTCAACCCTGCCGATCAATGGGGTGACAGATGTAGCAGCCAGATTACCCTCACAGCCTCCTCCTTACTCTTGAGCTCACCAATCCTGGTAGAGAAGAGTCTTTATGCCACACTTTTTTAATCAGCTCTTGATTCAAGAAGGCTCCTTCCTCCCAGCCAGTAGGCTCCACCTGCTTTCCCCCATGGTGGACACTGACTCCAGGCTTGGCCCATATTGTCTGCTTCAGATACCACCTCCCACTTATGAGGCTGACATCATTAAGGTACCGGCAGCGGGGTGGGGGTGGGGGAGTTTGGAGGGAAAAAAGACCAGACGTTCAGTAAGTTGGCTGAGGGTCATCATCTCTATCTCTGACTTTACGTGATGCCCTTCTGTTAGGAGCCCCTTGACAGACAGCAGTTCCTCTGGTGCCCTCTGGCTCTGTGAGGTTCTTTATCGCCACGGGTGGTCCAGTGGGCGTCACAGGAGGAACAGCCCGGGGTTGAGGCTTTGCTCTTTCTTCAGTCATTCACTTCCGACTAGGCATTTATCGTCCTGGATGCTGGGGTCAAGGTTGTTGGAGGACTCGCCTTCGCCTTCGGAGGCCGGAGTGGCAGGCGAGGCTGACAGCTTCTGTTTTTGCTGCTTTACATACTTGACTCGCCGGTTCTGGAACCAGATTCTCACCTACAACAGAGATCAGAATGTGATTGGCCACTCCAATGGCTCATCACTGTTGTTGTTGTTGTTATGTGCCGTCATAGCGACCGTATCACTATCACTCATTGGCTCATCACTAGTGCCCAAGTATTAGAGGTGTGCCCTCTCTTCTAAGGGAAGAAAAGCAAGAGAATGTGACGACCTGGGCATCAAGAGAAGAGTGTGTTTCAGTCGAGAAAGGAATGGTCACCTGGATGCTGCTGGGAGGTGGGGCAAGATGAGGAAAGCCAACTTAGAGGTCATTAGAAATCTTGGTGAAAGTTTCAATTGAAAAGGTAGGGAATGAGTTTATACCAGAGAGCGAGGCAAGTTCTTGTGAAGTTTGGCCATGAAAGCATGGAGCAAGAAATGGTCCAGCTACCGGAGAATAATACAGGAGTCAAGGAGCTATTTATTCCTTTAAAAATATTACATATTTGTATCTTTGAATTGAACAAGATCAGGTATGCGAGGGGCACTTAGCCTGCACGCCTGCTCTTTAAAGTAAGTCACTTGTAGTTTCTCTGTTTCCGGCGGCACTAGGTGAGGAAGACACTGGAGTTTTAGAAGTGAGGTGTACGCAGCCTGGACAATTTTTACTTTACCTCATTGTGAACAGAAATGGCAAAAGCTACTTGTTCAATTTGTGTACATTTACATATCTCATTACATCTTATCGATTGAATGTTGTTGCTGTTCTGCACTGTGAAGTTGACTTCATCTCATAGCGACCCATGAACAAACAGATCTGAACCCTGCCCTGTTCTAAACCGCCAACCAATGTCCTTCTCCAAGGACTGGCCCCTCCCAGCAACATGCTCAGAGACCATGTGAGACCATGCTTCACCATCCTTGCCTTTAATGTTATAAAAAA